TTCTCCTCTAACCCTATTTTTTATTAATCTCTAAAAAAATTGATGATGACAAGTATACCCTTAAGTGGGCGGCCAGCATGGCAGTTACATAAAGAAAGTAAAATAAGAACAAATAACAGGCCCATTAAGTGAGGCCCATCAACATAAAATAAAAGATAAAATAAAGGATATCACATGAGAGGCTGTTAGGGTCCATTCGGCCCAGTCTCTTTACACACTCCTAATTATCTTTTAATCCTTGGAACCAAATTGGACTCCCTACCTTCTTAATTAGGTATTGATATGTGGTAATTTGGGCTGGATATATTGGCACCACTTTAATGGGATGGACATGGAACATGGATGTCTCTAAATCTACAATGCATGAATCATAGGTGGAAGCATATCCTGGGTCAAGTACTTTTACTGTATCCACCTCAATTTATGGGCACTTTTGGCCAGAAAGGACCTTACCACATGGTCAAAGTAACCATTTTCATATTAGAAAGTTGAAACTTTTATGTGTTATTATCACTTAAATACCTTTCAAGCTGGAGCATTGACTTGAAACAACCATAAGGCTGATAAGAGAGTACTAAAGAATCAAAACCCTATCTTAACAAAAAAAGTAGACTCAAAACCCTATGGTCAGACCATAAACTAGATAACATAATCTTACAATATTACCTATATTTCTCAGAACTGCAGATGATGCAGAAAAAAGGCAACTTTGTTGAACCATTTTACATATAGTTGCAATCATCAAAATTAGGTAATCCAATCTTTTATTTCTGTCATAATTTGCAGTGAGAATTGCCAAAATGTTCTCCTGACTTCATGTTACTGTTATTGCTTGAGATTAGACTCTTCCTTCTTCAATATGTAGAACATACAGCATTTTTCTGATTAATTGCTAAATTAAAGTTAAGCACATAAAGTGGACTTTGTGCAATATCATCTATTCAATACAACTATATGATTAACCATATCTTATGGGAAAAATTATCTGTAATGCATAAGATGCTTTATGAAAATATCATTCCTGCCTTTATTCACTACTGCAGGTCAGTCCTGATGGTATAACCAGTCGAGATGAGAAGGTATTCAGGTTTGCAAAGGAAAAGAGCATCCCCATTGTTATGCTTACATCAGGTATGGTGAATTCAACATCTAGTTGGGAAATCAATGTATTTTGGCGAACAATCATTCAAAATGTAGCCCAGCCCTGGTGGGCATGTTTGAAAAGATTGGATTCAAATAGTGCAATTTGGAGGTATGGCAATGGACTTGCTCTGCCTCATCCCCCGGTGGGGCATCTTTGATATGACAGCAACTGAGAGGAGTGGCAATTGACCAGGTTAAATGGGTGAAATATGCTCTTCCTGACCTCTACTTGGGCAGGATGATGGACCCAATGGAGAGGAATAGCAATGGATATGGGTAATCCAACATTCCCAGCCCCTGCGCAGCACGTTAAGATAAGTATTAAAAGGAATGGCAAGGAACCAGGTTAGATGAGTGAACTACACTTCCTAGGCCCTACTAGGACAGGTTCTATTGGGTTCAGTTTATTTAGTATGCACCCCTATTGGGTACAGTCTACAGTGTATATCCTATCTATCTCCACGTACTTTTTTTTTTGAAAATTATCTCCACGTATTTCATCTTCTTTTAAAGTGTGTGTGTGTGTGTGTTATAAACCTATCCCTTCCCTGCCTTGCTCCACCTGGACTTACCTCTTAGCCTGCAACATCTTTCACATACCCTGTTAATGGGGTAAACCAGGTTTGGTTGACTTGGATCAAGTACTTATTGATGGCAACTTTGCTGTCACACATATGCATTGTTGAAAGTTGAAACAAATGGTTTACTCCAAATCAATGAGCAAATAAAGTGAAAGTGGGTGTGGGTAAAGGGTCTTTACTCTTAAAACATGTTGGTATTTATTTTAATTTGGCACTGCTCTGAGTTTTTTCTTTTCTTGGCTTAAATGAAACATCAACATGTAATGTTCCAGGTGGATATATGAAATCTAGTGCGAGGGTGATAGCAGATTCGATAGTGAACCTCTCCAAGAAATCCTTGATAGATTTGGAAAAGGCTCCAGTGAAAATATAAAAGGTGCTACAAGGGCCTTGCCCACTGCTCTGAGTTTTTTCTTTTCTTGGCTTAAATGAAACATCAACATGTAATGTTCCAGGTGGATATATGAAATCTAGTGCGAGGGTGATAGCAGATTCGATAGTGAACCTCTCCAAGAAATCCTTGATAGATTTGGAAAAGGCTCCAGTGAAAATATAAAAGGTGCTACAAGGGCCTTGCCCATGGCTTTTGTGGTGTTGTTTTAAGTGCATATAGGTTAAAGGCTGGGGTTATGAACTCTGCTACTGCTGCTAGTACTATTAAACAAGAGTGTTTGTATTTGCTAGTGAGTTGGCATTGGCAAACACGAGTTGAACAATGTAGCAAGGAAGTGTCAAATTATAGCAGACTAGCAATACTATAACCATAAGGCTGTATATACATGATATTCTAGCTAGTGCTTCAGTTTGTAGTGTAAAAAAAAAAAAAAAAGAATTGGGAGACCGTCCACACTCCACACACCAAGATGACATGATATGACCAGAGCATTACAATTTACTAACTGGGTCTAATGATGATGCTAAAAAAAAAAATGTCATCGACAGCTTCTTGGTTGGATCTCTGGGACTGCATCAACATGGTTTGAGGCGGGGAAAAGGAGGTAGAGAAGGTGCAGTGTGATTCTACACCCCGCAACTCATCCACGATCCACCTGGACCATTCTTTTTCATTCAGTTGGGCTGATGCTTTGCCAATTACGGTCGACCCGTGGCCATGTTGATTGCCGATGCCAAAGACTACCTCCTACCAATTCGGCCTTAAATGGTGCCGTTGGAAGAGGGGGGAGGGTTCGCTATCAGAGCTCTCCACATGGGCCATGACCATGCCAACCGTCTTTCTTGGTGGCCAGTGTGGGTGTGGTGTCTTCTTTATGCTTTTAGTTTTTATTAGTGGGATCCATGTGATGTATTTATATTTTTATTTGTCAAGCGAAAGCTAAATAATAGAAACACAAAAGAGTATAGAATTGTTTTATATTCTTAACTTTTTAAATAATTAATAATTATTTATATTTAGGGTTCAACTATGATATTTGAAAATTTTTTGACCAACCAATTGGTATCATAAACGTGGTAGTCAATCAGGTGGTATTTACCAAAATTCATGGTATCATAAATGTGGTAGTCAATCAGGTGTTATTTATCAAAATTCATGGGTTGATTTTGATTGGTCAAAACTCTTCCGGTAACATATATTTCCCACATCATAGATCTTCCTTTATATTTTATATACTAACAATAATTAATTTCAACTAGGGTTGTTCATTGAACTGATGAGATTGACCAACCCAACCAAGTTGGTTGGTTTTTTAGTATTTTCAGTCAGTTTTGGTTCAACAATTTTTTAACTTGACCAGGTTGGATTAGTTTCACTTTGGTCATTTGTATTAATATTTTATATTTTTAATATAATTTTTAAATATGGGAAAGTGATAAAATTTCCATATTTCTTAATCTAAAATATTTTATATCATAAATTTAATTTTTAATAATGTCATTGTAATTCTTAAAATTTAAATTTAATTTTTTTTTAATTTAAATCTTTTGAACCGATCGACTAAACTAAAAATCGATACAAACTGATACAACCTGAGTTGGCTGGTTTTCACTAATGGTTGCCAAATGTAATCTCAAATAATAGTTTAATCTCTAATTAATATTAACCAATAAATTATAACAAAAGTACAATAAATACAATAAGTACAATAAATTAAACTTAAAAAGTTAAATAGCAGTAGTTTAATTTTCAATAATTATTGAAATTTTTTTGTTAAATAACAAAACAAAAATAGATTTTATACACATTATTGAAAATATATTTATCACAAAAAACAATAAGTAATTATTTAAAATACAATAAATATTAGTTTTAGTATATATATAAATATATAATAAATGTAGATTAAGATTTTAAAATCATTATTAATAAATATTATTTTTTTAAAATTTATTTTCTAGAATTATTAATTGATATAAGTGAAATTAGTTATTTACAACATTAGTTAGTTATTTAAATAATATCAATATTTAAATTTTAAAATATTAATTATTTATTGAATATTATATTATAATTATTTTTATAGTTCTAAGAATTTTTTAAATTTAATATATAATTTCATTATTTTGACTCTTTAAAATTTAGTTATGTTAAATATTTTGTTAGTTAAAATATTTAGTTACTTAAATATTTAATTTTTTTATTTGAATTTTATTTATTTTAAAGTTATTACATAATATTAAAAATTAAGTATTTAGCTATTTTTAATATTTTATTTAAGATATTTAGTTATTGAAATATTTAAATAATATTTTATTTTTAGTGTTATTTTTTTATTATTTGAATAACATTTTAATTGAATAATCTAGAAAACCATAATTTATATTTTTAGCATATAATTTTGTGATGAATTTTGTAAAAATATAAAATTATTAATAATATGAATATTATTAAATCTATTATAATTATTTTTTATTTTTATAAATATTTTAAAGTTATTATATAGTTTTTTAGAATATTTAAATATATATATTTTTTTATTTTTTTTAATTCAAACTTCCTTTATATAGATATAGATAAAAAGTGGGGGAGAGGATAAATAGGAATTAGAGATAATTTAGGAGAAAGTGGTGGAGGTAGTTTATGGGGAAAAAGAACATCTCATTGGTTGTTTAAAAAATGACATGGAATAAAAATAAAAATAAAAATAAAAAAAGGAGAAAATTTTGTGTTTTAGTATATATAGATTAACATCACTGTCCCCACGAATATTTCATCTTTGGAGACCGGACTAACTGGAAAATGAAGAAGAATAGTTATTGTTGTCGGATTTCAACCCCAATCAATCCATCAATCTACTTGGCGGAAAATGATAATATGTGCTATTCTCTATCGTGTGTTGATCGTGTCATCAATTGTGATGATCGGGCTGTTATCGTTGACTCATGCAACACTTAACATCCTAGTGTCGCTTTTGATTGGGGTGGTGGTGGTCTTGGTTCATGCGGTGTTGAAGAATACAGATGATTTGTTCGAGGATGAAGAGTTAGGGGGGTCGCCTGGGTTTTTTTAGCCACTGTAAATGAAACCAGACTACAATTCCGTGAGTCTTCCTCTTCTTTTTCTTAATAATAAGGATTGTGATTTGAGGCATTTTCTATTTTTGGATAAGAAAGGAAGGATGTTTCTTATTTTCCATTTCTTCTCATAGATTTAGCAGTTATTTTTACCATTGATTGTAAATTTTCAATGATTGATTCTTTATTTGTTTGTATAATTTAGTTGAAGGTTTTAGTCTTTTGTTAACATATTGCATTTCGAACAAGCAACGAGAGCTGAGGTTAGGAAAGAAATATTTTAGGCGACAGACAAAAAGTAGGCATTTACATGATAGTCTTTTTTTTTTTGGGGGGGGGGGGGGGGCGACAGACAATTCAGAACCCATGAAACAACCCAACTGTTTGGATTCTGAATTTACACTAGTAGTTACCCATTATTCAATTTACTGAATCAATGGGATTCTAAACAAATGGACTATTTGGATTCCAACTGTTTGGTTGGGATTGATCAGAATCCTATTTCCATTCCTTGTGGAATGGCATTTTCTATTTGAGGGCAAAATGGCCATTTCCTCTCCTTTCCTTCGGAATAAAATATCATTCCTGTTGATTTCAAGTTTCATCTTCATTCTTATCTGAACAAAACAGGCTATAGGAATAGACCATTCGAATTTTGATTCCGAAGGATTTTGATTCTAATTTTAACAGAAGAATTAGTAATAGAAGAAGAGAGGCATATATTTTGTTAACACTGTAAAAATGTTTTTGCTGGTTCTATCCATCCCTCCACCTACTAGCCCTAGCCTACAAGGTCATCATTATCATCATCCATGGCTTATCATACCTAATATGTGGTCGACTAACCGGTTCTATTTAAAGTCATATAGACTGTTAAATTATTAGTGTTTAAATCATTTTTTACTCATTAGACCTATGTCCTTTTTGGCCTACCCCTAGTTCTAGTCTACCACAAGGTCCACAACTAATTCTATATCTCTCTATAGCCATACATCTTTGCTCTTTTCTCCGAAACTCAATGTTAAGATTCCAATCTGTACATTTCAAACCTCTCAAAATAGACAATATAAGGATTGGGACAAGGGAAAGTACAAGTATTTACGAGAAAATATAAGGGTTTGTAGTTTCTAACGAAGAAACATTGAAGTGAGTGGTGGTTTACATTGAGGTTGCTTAAAACTTAGTATGGGATATCTTACCCCAAGCCCAAATTCATATCCTACAGATCTAAGCCCAAGCCCACCTAAAGATTGAACACGATGGGTCCAATTTGAGATCAATTGGCTTGAGATAGTATTTGGTGAGCAAGCAAAATCAAAAAACCGAACCAAACCGAAAATCTAATTAACCAAATTGGTTGGTTCAGTTTTAGTTTAGTATTTTTAAAAATCAAAGGTATCGATTCGATTTCAGTTAATAAATATATAAAATTTGCGGTTAATCAAACCAATCGGTCTATATATATTTTTATATATTTTATGTATATATATTATATTTTATATTTTATATATATTATAAATTAATAAATATACATTATATATAAATATATATTATAAATTTAAACAAACTAAAAAACTGACAAACCGAACCAATCAATCAATTAACCGATTGGCTTTGGTTTGATTTCAATTACTGGTTTTCCAAAAACCGATCAAACCAATTCGGATTCAATAACTGTGAGCACCCGTATGAGATGGTTGTCAAGACTCATTTTACTAGTTACTAGCTTACCACTTCAGCAAACATATCTTGGGCTATTCTTGCTCTTCAGCCTTGGAGCTTAAACAAACCAATCAATCAATCTTGTCAACCTATTTTGGGAAAGCATGTATTGCATTAAACTTCATCACCTGGGAAAGATGATCCAATATCCGGTGGTGGTGGGGTTATATGTGAAGATGATTTAGAGCAGAAAAGTGAATACAAAGTCGTTTAGTACTCTAGTTGATAGATTGTCTATTCCAGACTTTGTCATTTCATCCCTCTTAATAGGTTTTTGTCAGTGTTGCAAAACATGCATGACCCAGAGGCTGAACCAATTCGAATTTGTTCATATCTCATGAATGATAATATACAATTACCGGATATATTCTCAATGTGCAGCTGTAAATGCTATGAGGAGTGAATAGCAAATAGGGACTCTGGTTGAACCGCTTTTTTTTCCTGGGTTAATAGGACATGTCAGATGGATCAATGGTTCAACCACCCCCATCCGGATAGATGAGCTGTGGACCAAATCAACAGTTTATTCTAATATAGCGAGTTAGAGGTTAACCCAAAATGGGATGGTGATTGGTGACCGATTCACCATCCCAATCAGCGGGGTTAACGATGGGTTGAAAAGAATTGGTTTTTATTATTAAATTTAATTAAGGGAATAGTCATGGAAGAAATATCAGCAAGAAGAGGAGCCGTCGAGACCTCTCTCTCTCTCTATATATATATATCATGCAGAACCAGAAAACCCCGGGCATAAATGCAGAGCAGAGTTCCCAGTATATTAGCTTAGAACTGACTACTGAGACTACTGAGACTGAATTTTATCGGTGATGTTAATGATGCCGGAAAGACTTGTAATCAATCAACTGGTATGATAAAAGTGATAATCAATTAACTCGGTTTTAATAATAATTCATGGGATTTTAATTAGTCAAAGTTTTTCCGGTATAATGTATTTCCGACATTATAGATTTTCTCAATTTTCAAATATCCAAAATATAAACTAAGAGAATTTTGTCTTTAACCCTTATTGGTCAATAACAAGTAGACACCACCCCAAATAAGCAAGGTTGCGAGTTATACTAAACTTTTGTGTTAATGATGGTGGTTTTTGTCATCATGTCTATTTATTTCGAAGACAAGGATTTCTTTTTTATTTTTAGCGGAAAATTTTGTGTAAGTTCCTTCTTCCTTCCCTGAAGTGGGCTGGGCTGGACATACACAAAACAATGGGTATTCGGAAATGGTCACCCATCTGTTATCATCCATATCCATATGTAGTTTTATCTGGGTGGACCCTAGTGCAAATGGGAACCCACAAATTAGTCTTTCATCATCCTCCTCCTTTTATAAACGATTTACCTAACAAATAAATAAATAAATAAGAAAATAGAAAATCTGTACCCAATGAAAACGAAAAACAGTTCTTGCAATTATATATGTAGAATTTTTTAGGGAGTTCACACAAAAGAAATTAAGATGTAGGAGCATATACCCACAAAATTAAATTAATTAGAAAGATGAACTAAGTACGCCTAATATATCCATATCTCCTATAATTTATTGGGGTGGCTGTGCTGGAAATCATGGACAGGACAAACCAGCCACAGCTTTCATGCAGACTCTGCTGTGACCAGAGACAAACTCTTTGTTGTTGTTGTTCAATTCATTAAATCCTAGAGCTGGAGCAATGCTGCTATGTCCATTGAACATGTTTGCTGTAAATCCTATACGATTCAGCAATATTTTATATGCTTTGTCTTGATAAACAGAAGAATTGATTAATTTACGGTTCCCTGTAAATCTAGTGGCAGCCATGGATGAAGAACTACTAGCCGCTTGAAACTTAATTTTTTTGTAAGAAGATTAGAATTCCATTTTGTTCATAAACAAACCATTCATCCATCAGACTGTGGTTTTCATTTATACAATTACAATCTCAAGAAACAGAGAAATTCATTAGGAAATTAAAATCCCAAGAAGCAGAAGCAGCCTAACTACTACTACTTACAATGAAACACTTTCAATGGACATCGCGGTGACACCAACTGCAACAATAGCCGAGCCGTGCCTTCTTGGCTCACCACCGCTTCTTCTTTCTCCACCAACGCCCCCGCCACGATCTTATCGTACCCGCCTCCACCGCCGGTCGCCACGTACGCCACCAATGCCGCCTGAACCGGCCCCAAGCTCGGATTATACGCGGCAGACTCTGTGTACGACCCCTTATAAACCTTCCCTTCTGTGTCCATGAGTGCAACACCCGATGGGCATCCGCTGTAAGGCGCGTGCGACTCGTTGGCCGCTTCAAGTGCTGCCCACTTTAGCTTGTCGTCGTCGGAGTATACAACGTCGCGGTTAAAGGATTGGTTGCCGTCACCGTTGGCCTTGACGGCGCCGTGGTGGGCGTCTTCGTTGAAAGTCAAACCATTATGATGAGGCTCTAAAAGCAACGGCAGGTCCTTGTGGAGGAGGTCCTCCGGACCGAAACGCTGGGGCAGGAATTCAGATAATGGCCGAAACGCAGCTTCTGACTCTCGGCTGTCACTTGGGTTATCGGTGGTGGATGTGATCAAAATCTTAATATCGGGGGCGTTGCGCATCTCTTGCATGAATTGGCGGCAATGGCCGCAGGGCGCGGAGGATCCGGCCATGTAAAGGAGTTGAGTCTCACCGTTGATGGCGGCGTTGATGATCATGAATTGCTCAGCATGGACGGAGTGGTGGAGGGGGAGGCCAGGGAACTCGAGGTTGACGCCGAGGAAGATACGGCCATCGGATCCTAATCCGGCGACTCCAACAGAGTAATTCGAAATGGGAGGTCTGGCTAGTATTTTAGCGGAATCGGCTAGTGAAGCCAGGAGTTGCAGGACAGAGAGGCCCGATTCTTTTGCCATGGATTCGACGTCGACGGATTCTATCACGAATCGGTTTTGCTTCATTTTTTTATTTGTTGTATCGTCGATCAGAGATTAAATGTCGAATCAGAGAGAGAGCGTGTGTTCCCTCAATTGAGGATGGGAAGAGGAGGGCAATTGGGCTGCATTTTATATGGGTTTGCATGAGAACTCCTCGCTAAAATTGAAAAACAAAAACATGTTTGGTTGGATCATGGATGGATTCAACTATAGATTAATGAATTAAGTTAAACTATAAGGAGGAGTGGGACAGACAGGTCTTGTTGTTGCATGTGGAGATGCAATGCAAGATGCAACGAAGCGACTCAAGTCTTTTTGCTTTTTTGCTTTGGGATTATCGATCTTTTGCTTTACCAAACTCCTCTCGTTTGTCAGTTTGATCTTTTCTCCTTGTTATATATGCCTACATTCAATTAATAGATTTGTCAGCATCATTATCTCAAATAAGTAACACCAATCTAAATTGAATAAGTAACTCATGCAAAATTAGGCTTTTTCCTCTCTCTCTCTCTCTCTCTCTCTCCAGTGCAGAATGAAGAACACCCACTCAGACATTTGTCTCTACAATTTGAGAAGACGAGAGAGAGAGATCCATTGTCAAATTAGCAGGATGTGCGCTGTGGGGTTTATCGGCAGTATCAGGTCAGACCCAACAAGTGGTTTATCATTAGCAAGCAAATGAAATGATGTGCCATTCGTTGCTTGCTAGCTAGTGGGCTTCTGTTGCGTAGGACATCTTGGATTCCTCTTTGAATAGTATTACTTTTATATGAAGAAGATGATAATTGACTATTTGGATAGAAAAGGTGAGACTTTCCCACATGGAATGGAATCGAATAAATACATAAAACACAAGTATAAGTGCTTTGGCTGGTCCAAACACATCACTTGATGACATGGGATTCCCACTTTTTTTTATATAGTTGGTGCAAGCTAAGCTTGCAACCCCTTATTGCTTTTTTAGTTTTTTTTTTTTTTTTTCTTTCTTCTTTCTTCCTACTACTGTAATTGTTTGGAAGGGATGACTTCCTTTCTTCTCTACCTAATTACCAAATTCGGAACTCAGCTTCCCTCCCTCCATCCTAGAAACTCACCTAAATAGTGTCGTCCAACCTCTACCCACCTACCCCTGTAATTAATTAGAATGGTCGACACAACTGTTTCTTAATTAATGTATTAATTCTTAATTATTTTAAGTGTTTTATGCAGATTTGTGATGATCTCTATCTATAATAAGCCCATTAATGTAGTGAACGTTCCTAGCAATTGGATATGGTTATTACGTGTTGTTAAACTGTCAAAATATATATTGTTTTCTTCAAACTAATAAATTTGAGGATGCACACTTGCATCGGATCTGACCAACCATCTCATAATCTGCTTTTTTTTTTATTATTGTTACCCATCTTACTCTGTTTCGTTTGATTTTGCTGATATGGCAATTGTTTTTAAAAATAAATTAAAATCAAAATCAAATGTGTTGATGAAAAGTGAAAACACCCTTGATTATATTATATATAAATTTGAATTAATTGAACTCGAATCTATATCCCATATTCAAATCAAATGAATCTGACCTTACCTTATTGCCTAATATTAATATGCGTGCTTTGCCTGTTTTATAAGCTCATAGACTTAGCTTTTGTGTTTGTCTTATTACTAAAATGGTTAAATAGCACAGGATTCACAGATATTTAATTAAAAGAATAAACAATAATGAAAAGACATGAAATTTTTATATTTGTTAGTTTGTTGTTTGAATGCTAAAAAAACAAAGAAAAATAGCATCTTATGTTATCCAAACAACTATAAGAATGCTTCTAAGGGAATAATTTAATTTGATTTGCCCTTGTAAGGAAACCTTCCTTCACACTGAAGCACTTCAATTGAAATATGACGAATGGGAGAAAAAAAGTAAAAGGAAAAAAATCTCTAGCTTTTTTCTACTTTTTTGTTCTCTTTTGTTGCTTTCATATTGTCGAATAAAACAAAGGATAAGATTGTTATTTGAAGAAATCCTTTTTCTAAAGTGGTAGTTGGAAATGAATTTCTACAAATAAGTGCTATACTACAATGATTTTTTACACTAATCTGTTATAGACATAATGGGGCGACCTAAAGATGACTAATATGGTGTTTGGAAGTGTGATTGCTTTTTGAGACCGATTTTTAAGAAAAAACATTTATGCTTCCAAGACCCATTTTTTACAAAAAAAAAAAAAAAAAAAAACCGCTTTTGACACGTAGGTAGTGAGCAACACTATGCTGTTTGGTAAGGTGATTTTCATCACCATTTTTCATGTATGTGCTGACAGGTAAGCACCACATAGGATATACATCAGCCAACCGTTGGGGAAAATGGGTCACCGATGCATGAAACACGCCAAACAATGAGATATGGGCGGTTTTTTCAAGGCATGCCCAGTTAATAATCGGCTGAACCAAACAATGAGATATATGGTTCTGTTATATAATCTTATTGTCTAATTTTGCATTCATTTTGTGCATGATTTCTTGAGTGCAAGCTAATCTAATAACTTTATTTCTAGAATATGCTTACAGTCACCACATTATTGTTTTTCCCCTTTAGAAAAGGAGGCAAGTGTATGAAGTATTAAAAATCAAAAGGGGAAGGTTTTGGACATGAGCACATCAGAGGATGTACAGATGGACAAGCTGTCTCTGCTTATACAAAAACATACCAGAGCAAGAAGCTGCTTCTTGCTAGGTAGATCTAAAGGAGTGACTAGTTTCCAACCCACCCAAGTCTGAGACTGAATAGTTTGTTAGTGTTCAATGTTAAATTAAAATATTACATGCATACATGAAGTTCTTGAATTAGATACTTGAGCTATTTCTCTAGATATCTGTTTATTTTTAGCCTCAGTAACTTGTGGTTCCAAACTAATGGAAACTCCTCCTTTGTGTATTTTATTTTTATCTCTTCTCTTGGTATGTATGAAACATCTTAGTTATTACTAATTTTATACTCTATCAATTATATAATGACATAACTTTGAGGTTCGAGTAACATCAGATGCTAATAGCAAGAGAATAAAGCTATACTTTGTGAGTGATTTGTCAAGTGAACGGATAGTTTGATTTCTGAGAGTTTTCTTTCCTATCCTTTCCAGCAAGCATGAACTTTAGACAGGACATTTTGTATGCGATTAATTAAGGCATTAGCTTTAACCTAAGTTTGAGTTTAACGTGTATATCTTTTAAAGCACAATAGTTCATTTTGGTAAGTCACCAGATTCTTTATTCTATAAAATTCCACGCTTTGTGATGCACATTGATGATCCAGCAATTTGTGCACTTACAAAGTACTATTCAAAAGTTTTCCCACCTAGTAGCACACCAGGTGTGAGTCTACTGGATTTATGTAGCAGTTGGGTAAGACAGTTCTGACTTTATTTTCTTTGAAAGCTTTATGCTTATATTATTCATATTCTGATCATTGTTGTTTTTATGTTCTAGGTGAGTCATTTTCCAGCAGGATACAAGCAAGAAAGGGTAGTAGGTTTAGGTATGAATGAAGAAGAGCTTAATCGCAACCCTGTATGTTAATCTTGATGCTCACAATCTTTTTTCTTTCTATTCTGGGTAAAGTTTCAATAACTTGGTAAATAAATCCATAAGATCTATTAACTGTCAATGCACATTTGACTTGGAGTTTCCATAAGTAATATATTATTCATATTCTGATCATTGTTGTTTTATGTTCTTAAAAGGTTAAAATTTGTCTTGCACATATCTAAATGAAATAGTTGATTTGTGAAAGTTGCAGACATTCAACTCATCACATATATGTTCACAATTAAGTTTGCTTCCTCTTGTTAGAATTCTAATTGTTTTATTTTTCCCTAGTTATTTATATTTAAATGGTTTCATTATTTCAAGTGAAGCTTATTAGGCAAAAAAAAGGGACTCTTCTGAACATGTCTTTTAGCATATTGCCTGCTAAAATTCCTTGAATGCATATGTTAAAAGGAGATTTCAAGGCACACTTATAGGCAATTCTCATTTTGTGTGGTACACTTTGCCTAACCTCAAGTGCACTTGACCTGGCTTATTATTATGCTTCTAGAAGGTATAAGGCTATAACTTTTGTTTTAACAACAGAATACCCTTGCCAACTAAGCTGATAGGCTTTTTGGAATATTTTATCTCTTTTAAAAATTAAATTTGCATATGCTTATTATGATTTTTTTTGGGTTTTCTTTTCCAAAAGTGGCACCTCACTTTGTATAGACATGAACCTTGTCTTGTACCTCATTCCTCAAGCTCTATGAATCCCTTGTGCTTTAGTTGCGCTTCTCATTTTAAAGCACTTTCTATGTCATTCACTTAAACCCAATTCAGTCTTGTTGTAAAGTACATTCAATCATGATCTTTTCACTCACAAGTCAGGAAAATAACCAAAGAAGTTCTAATATGTATCTTCATTTGCAGGTTCTAACTGAGTATTTTGTACAAGATTTAAATGTGAATCCCAAACTTCCATTTGAAGATAAATCTTTTGATGTTATTACTAATGTGGTACGTGTCTCTCTCCCTAGTATTCTCTGGTTCCTTTGATGTAAGAAAGGTGGTTTTGAATCACATTTCACATATAACTGAACAAATCACAAAGTCATTCAGTTCAGCCACTTCAACTGTTATCAAACGATCCATAAAATAACTAAGAATTGAGAATGTATTAACTGATTCTTACCTTTTGATTAATAGAAATGGGGTTGATAAGAGACAAATAAAGAGAGGGCCCTTTTTTCTTGTTCTTCTTGTTGGTATAGATGGGCATGAGATTCAGCCCTTTGATATGTAGAGACTGGAGAAAGAACAAGAAATGATTGTGGGTGATCAAACATTGCATATTGGTAAGACAACTGATATTTTATTACTAAAAATTATGAAGATATGTTGAAGTCAGGTTATACAGTGCAAAAGGAAAGGTTAGAAGGCCAATATTAATTCTGACGGTATAGTAGTTGTCTTTACTGGCCAAGTTACTGTGCAACTAAGAAAGGTGAAAAGAAGTTGCTTAGCTATTGGTTGGGGATTCTTAGGACCTACAAATGAGCTCCTGTATTTTATTTTATTTTAGTGTTTTTTTCTGGGGGTGGGGGGTGCATCCCCCCAGCCCAGCTCAGTCCCTTCATGGCAGTAAGGTTGTTCTAACAGATCATGTGGAGCTTTCTATGGTAATGTTCATGGTGGCATTTGGCCCTAGTATAGCTGCAATTTCACTGTTAACTTGTATAATGGTGACTAATCAAGGATACTCAAATCAGATCAACCACACCTCATCCCAACTATGAAGATATACAAGTCCTAAGATCACTAGGATGAATCATATTAGATGAAGTAATTAACATAAACAGTATCTGCTGCCCCTCCCAAGACTTTGTAGTAGCCATTACGAACCATCTACCCATTTTCTTAGTGCACTTAAAGGACTATAATAGACAAGCAGTTGGGCATTTTTCAAGATCTTATCTTTAATTTCTATTAGCAGGTTGGTTAAATTGTTGGGTTCATTTATAGTTAAGTTATTGCTGGGAATCATTCATTATATCTTTATGATAACTTTTGACCCTTACATAGAGAGTGGCTATCATTGGAGCCTTTAAATCACAAAGGACAAGATGTAGTACCCCATAACACATCTAGAAACTTAACTTTTTCATTTTGTGATTTAGATGTTGCACGATACTAGCATTGCTCCAACTTTTTGGCCTGTTATATATGAGTGTGTGTGTGTGTGTGGCACCTATGCAGTGGACAAATATTATTGCTTACTTTGTGAAAACAGTGCTTTAAAAGATATACTTTCTGATCCTTTCCCATATAAATTTGTCAACCTTTCAGGTTAGTGTTGATTATTTGACAAGGCCTATTGATGTTTTCAAAGAGATGTGTCGGATTCTTAAGCCAGGAGGTCTAGCAATAATGAGGTGAGAACAGAACTTGTCTTTGTACATCTTGCCAACAGAACATTTTCAAAGTAAGACAACTGATACTTCTTTGAAAAAAAAGTGGTGAGAACTTCATGTACTCCCTAATATGCAAGATAAACTTCTTGTGCTTCCTTTTATGCAATCTAAAATCATTTTAAGTGCATCCATAACCCTAAAGAATTCTGCCTTGTTAGTAATTATTCTCTCAGCCATGAACTAGTATGTAATTAGAAAATTTTGTTATGTGGATGAAAGATAATTTTGTTGACTCCAAGTTTAAATTTATGTGACGTATAACATATCATTTTACTCAAGAAGACCAATATGATCTGTGATGCAAAACATGTTCACACTTATGTGGGATTACTTTTTTTGAAGTATTTAATTTAATTTCAGCCATGATATAATTAGAGAAAATGATTTTTCAACATTATAGAATGGTGACTTAAGATTATGGCAAACTGTTAAAGACTGCTAGTGGTTGTGCTTGTCCTCCTTTGTGGGAAGACAATTACTAATTCCTCAGCTTTGTTTATTAAATCAGCTTTTTCAAACCGTTGTTTTTGGACGAAAGCAATCTCCATATGGACTTCAACAGGTGATGATGATCATGCTTTGATTGTTGGGTCGTATTTCCATTATGCTGGAGGCTTTGAACCTCCTCAGGTATTTTAATTATAATTTTTCTTTTGGTAAATTAAATTTTTATTTGCATTCATTCTGAAAATCTAATTCAGGTTTTGAGTAACCATAGGCATAAAACTTCCTAAAAGTTAACCTAGTGTTGTGTATTGTGTTTGGTTTATCTGCATGGAGAAGATTTATGGCCCCTTCAGATATTCATTCTACATCTTTCTGATGCCTTGTGATTATATAGCTTACATATCAATGTAGACTGATAACCTGATTTTGAGATGTTTTGTTTTTCATTCACCTTCAGAGGAGAGGAATCATATGTGGCCCTCTCCATTTACTATTGCATTGTTTTAGTATCTTTCATTGTCACCGCTATCTATAAGAAGATTAGCTTTTGTTGAACCATTTAGAAAATTAGTTGCAGTACCAGCCACTTTATATGGTAGAACAATGGCAAAACATTTTTACCAAATAAAAAATAAAAATAAAAAACAATGGAAAAACATCAACAATTCTTTATTTTAAAAGTCCACCTTCACAAATTGACAGAACTCTTCTAGTCTTTATTCTGTGGAGATGTTTCTCATTATTTTTGGCTGTGCTTGGTGCCCCGCCTGCTATAACATGGTCAAACTTTTTGCTAGAATTTGGGTATTCATGGTAATAATTGTGACAAATGTCTTTTGTTAGTTACAGATTACTTGTTTGAAAGCATCCTAGTAGTTTTTTCTTAATCTTGTATATGTTTGAAGAAACCTTGAAGGCTGAAACCGACCCCTTTAGTCTGTAGTCTGTACAGTGAGATTTGTTTCTCATGTTCCCAAGCCAGTTAATTCTTTGTAGCTTGTAACTTGAACTTGTCTACTCAGGAACAAACTTAAATTTTAATAAATAAGAGTTGCCATTGCGGATCTTGAGGATGATCCACTTAGCCTGATCATTCAGAATGAGATGAGGATTGGAAACTTTGTATCATTGTGCAACTGACAGTATCTGTATATCCATCTTGTGACTTCCCTTCTAACTTCGAATGGCAATTATGGTTCACCATAGCTCAGTGAATAAGTAATTAGAATGATGCAATTGGGGACCTGGTTAGTATTTTCTTTATCAATTTAATTGGGTTGCATTTGATCAACATGTTTTCATGCTCTGTCTCAGGCTGTGGATATATCCCCCAGTCCAGGTCGTTCAGATCCAATGTACATTGTATACTCTAGAAAGGTGCCTACTGCTTAATCACCTAAGCTTAGATTTTTAGGTTGATTTCCGTGTGTTCAGACTAGAAGTGTTTAGCAAAAATACTCAGACGATTTTGCAGAAAGTAAAATAATGCAACCAATCTCTGAATTTTGCAATCTATCAATCTTCATCATTCGAACACTACCAATTGTATATTCCGTTCAATTCAATGCATCAGCCATCATTTAGGAGTGATTATGTTGTGTAAATACCAAGTCTGGTAAAAAATTTGCTATCGACTGGACATTGTTATTACGTTAATGGATGGTTAACTCCATCGATCCATTTTATTGCAATACAAATTACATAATAAGGGACATGGGGCGTCGATGAAGGATTTCGAGAATTGGTTCCAGACAGCAGAGCAGATGCCCAACTAAACACAGAGCATCAGCTTGTCTTCTTTTCGAAATGATTAATTGTAAAGTAATGATAAACTTAACCACTAAGAATCTAAATTTATTAATCTACGGAAGACCGTGTGACCTTGAACCACGCTCATTTCTGATAGTCGGTGGGTGATGACCGACGAGCGACGAAGCCTTATTTCCGACAACCGGTGGTGTCGGTGCATCAGGTTCTATGTATATTTTAAGATAATAGTACTTAGTACACCCAATGCACTTTTGACACCTCCAAGAGAGTGGAGACGTCTCGGTACCAGTAATATAGCATGGTGGATGCAGCCCCAATAAGAAAGAACAGCCACAGAATCTAAAACTAATTCCATTATTGCCGACCGTGTACAAGGGTATCTGGTAAATTGGGTATTTGGGATTCTGATCTCATTCTCTCAAGGAATTTGGAAACATCATTCTCTCAACTAGACAAACTTTTCTGCACAATGGAAATATGAAACAAGAGAAGAATGCATACACTGATATATACCAGTGGGCCTTGTAGATTCTATTTCTAAAAGAAAACGAAAGGGTGATCATGGCCGTGGTGGATCATGGATGGTGACTCTGTGTGTAACTTCTAAATTTTAAGCCCAGCCCTGCTTATAACGTTGGAAAAGGTCTTCGGTCTGTGCATTCTTGAAGGCACTGCAGGCAATAAGATAGACCCAGACGAGAGCCACCACGGCGACGATCAGAATGACGTTAGCCTTCCTCCATTCCTGTCTCAGATTCCCCAGGAGTCCGGCCTTGCAGGAGTTGCATCCGTAGCACAGCTGGGACTGGTCGTTGCTCCACATATAGCAATCCGGGTCAGTTGCTGGTGTCACCGGGTTTATCCACATCGTTGGGCTCACGTACCCGTACTGGCATAGCGTCGGAGGCTTACAGCATCCTGACTGTCAAATGTCAACACAACCACAGGAAAAAAAAGGAACGTTTCAACCACCTCACCTCAACATCAAAGCCGACATCCGAATTCCCTAACCAGCTGGCACCCACAATCCATTTCACACCCACCACCCATAACAAAAAACAGAACCAATTATACAAACCACAATATTCAATCAATCAACCATCAAAAGAAGCCACATAACATAGGTTGATAGGTCTCAGGATCGGCTGGGCACACACGGTCACGGAGAGCACAATGAGAGTGCTCACAAGGGTGTGCCTACTGAATCCGGTCTCTAATGATACAGGAATAACAGTAACAAACTAACAATTGAGAAGAGTAAATGGTGTATATACTAATAACTACACACAGTAGAGTCAGTCAACGGAGTAAAAGTGAAAAAGGATTCAGTCAACGGAGTAAAAGTGAAAAAGGATGAGGAATGGGAGAAGAGGAAATTGGCTGTACCTGTAGGGGAGAGATGTGAGCCGCAAAGAACTGATCAGCGGTGCTGTAGTCTTGGGTGAGCTTGGAGCAGACATTGGAGTTGGCAAGGCAAGTTCGGATCTTATTCCAATTGGCGGAATTGGTGACTTGATTTCGGAGCCACGACGAGAATCCGTCCAGCCTGTACTCCTTGTAGCCCCGCCCAGCTACGTCGTAACTGCCGTCCGGCCTTGTCACGACGAAAGCAAACACCAGGAGGACCAGCAGGATGACGATGAGCACGGCCATGCAAAAGAGGTAAAAGGCCAGGAGGCCCTGCCGGTTCCAGTAGGCGCCCACGAAGCCGGCAAGGGATACCAGAAGGATGAGCACGCCGATTACGACCACCGGCCATCGGAAGTAGTGTACGCACTCATTGTCCGCTTTCGATGCCAGCCAGATTCCGGCGCCGATGATGGGGATTGAACAAAGGAGTGCCAGAAAGTTTAGGAGGGCTGTGATGTTGTTGCTGACCCCCATGGTGATGATGATCTTTCTTTCTTTTACTTCGGTTTAACGCTATCTGTAATATTGTAAGACTGTAATTGAGGGGGGAGGGAGGAGAATTGGGGGGAGCCGGAGAGGGAGAGCGAGAGTGGTTTTGATTGTTGATGGATTTGTTTGGTGGTGGGTGGGATTTGGGAGGGTGCTTTTGCTTTCTATTTCCTACTTTACAGTTTACACAAGTAAGAAAATTTGAGAGGTCCGTGTGAAATTGAAAATCAGAAAAAGTAAAAAAGGAAGCAGAAGTCTCCTTCGTTGGACTTTCAACGATGGTCGATGGATGAAGAAAACCCCTGATAATTGTTCAGCCCTCTGAATTCTAATGTCTAGTCTGATCCATTCGCTTCTTCGCTAATATATAAAAGCAAACCAGCGATCTCAAGTGTAGCCACGTGGAAATCAATGACCATATCACCATCTCTGTAGTATACTACTGTACTCCTTACAAGAACATCGTATTTCTCACTTTAAGTACGTGACAGGATACTTGGCTTCGACATTAATTTGCCACGTGGTGCTGAAATGTTCATCACGTAGACACGTGTGCAAAGGGTGGTGCAGTGCAGTCCAACTAGTACTACTATCCAACAGGTAACAAGGTGCCATAACTCCCGCTTTCTCCTACTTTCAAGTTTGGAAGGCAGATGAGATTGAGATGATGAAATGAAGGGGAAAGCTGTAGGAGTGAAATTGGGAAAATGGAGGCATGGGTGCCGCTGTTTGATATCTTCCTGAACTCCCCATCCTCCGAAGGGGAAGCATCTCTTTGGATGCAACAGGCGTTCGACGCCTCTGGACCCGCCACCACCATCACCACCAATTCTTTCCTCTCCTTGCTCTTAAAGCCTTCCGATGTTGTTGTACCCGATTCCTCTTCTACTCCCTCTCCCCAAAACAGGTAAATAACCATTGGCTAACTCATACACCTTTTTCTTTTTCTCTTTTCAAATGTTATTGGGTTTATTCTGCCGGTTTCCGTTGTCGCTCAACAGAATTATGTGGATTCAAACACTTCCAGATGTGGTTCAATCCCGGATTCTCTCTTTTCTCACTGTCGAGAGCTCAAGATTCTGTAAACGAGACCTGGCTACTCTCGCCACCAACATCTTGAAATCGAATCAACGGCTTGACTTTTGGGTCAAGAAAGCCGCTCACAACCTGCTTGATGCAGTCTCTAGCTCGACTTCTTCCATTAAAGTAACAGACGAAGTGGAAGATGAGTTTGAGGCTTTGCCCCATTGGCTCCAGAATATGACCAGTAAAACCAATTCAATTCTTCCTTGGTTCCCGCTCTCTCCGGACATGTTGAACTCAAAATCTCCTGTCTGTAGTTTTGCGGATCGCAAGGCAGATGAGGATTCAATTATTGACACCAACGAAGTGGAAATGGAAGAATTGAACCAAGTTGCTGCAGAAATCAAGACTGTTGATCTCGTGGATATGCCTCTTCACCCTGAAATTCAAAACAAAGCAACTTGCATCAAAACTCAGCTATTAACCTTTGAATCCACTTCCAAAATTGTAGGCTTGGCAAATGAAATTCGCCAACTCTGCTTTGAAAGCGGAGGAGGAGATTATCTTCCACTTTTGGGTTTGATTGAACCCTGGCAAACAGATGACGAGATAGCTTCTATTCTGATCACTCATCTTTCTTGTGGGAGTGAGGAAAAAATTACTTGGCCAAGCCATGTCTTGTGTTCTGTCATCCTTCCCAAGTTGTTGGTTCTAAGGGAACCGGCTTCTCGGGTGCTAGTGACTGCCACTGTTGAGTACTGTAAGCTCCACCAGAAGGCTGCTGTGGATGGTCTATTGTTTCCACTGATCCTCTGCAAAGAAGGGATCAGCATCCATATCTGCGAGGTGCTCACGAGGATCATCAAGGAATGTTTGCATCCTGCTCATGTATCTGCATTCTGTCAGAAGCTGCTCTGTGGAGAAGAAGAGCCAAAGAAATTTATGTGCCTCCCTTGCCACCAGTGTCTAGTATCCAATGAGTTGGTATGGACAGAACCATTGTTTACCCTGTTTCAGAACATCTTGAATCAGAATGTTTATCTAACTCAGGACTCGGTTGATTATCTTGTTTCTGGTATTGGTGAATTGGCTAAGAGGTTTTCAAAGTCTCTGAAGTTCGCAAACTTTTTGTTATGTTTGATCACCAAATGTGCCCCATTACTCAAGTCCCACAGGGTTTCCTTGTCTGAAGCGGTTGGGCAGACTAACACCTTCATGACCAAGTCCATACTTGCAAAATTGTCCTCCCTGTAATTTCACTGTGAAATTTGTTCAATCTTCATTTAATATTATTTTCTGAAGAACTTTGTTTTGTGATTTGGTGAATCAGTTGATATGTAGTTCAAAAAATGTTGGGTTCTTATCTTTTAAATCAATTACCCATTTTAAATCAATAAATATTCATGTATTTGATGTAATTTTGGCCAAGTCAACTTTTGTAAGAAGAGGACATTGCCAAAAACCGTTTCCCCTGCATGTTTTGACTATCCAGATAGGTCAGAGTCTGACAACATTGGGTTTTACTTTTACATTTGGGCAGATATCCATATGGCTTAACTGTTTTTTCTTTTTAAACTGCAGCTAGTGTTTGTTACTCTGGAATGTCTCAACAGATTGGATGACTAAAAACTGCTCGAACCAAACAGCATCAATTACAAATATACTTTAACAGACTCGTACAGCAGAACAAACAAAAGACCTAAAAACACAGGAACATGCAATGCTCCTCTTATGTAATTAAGATCTACAGCACCAACAGGACCTAGAAGAAATCTGACAAATAACACACAGTAATAGCAAGAAACTGGTCCTTTTAAGCAACTCCATTTGCCATTTTCTTCATGGACTCAAATCTGGATCCTTTATCTGTAAACTTGGTTGCTGAATAAAGTTTGAGGTAGTCTTGGTAGCAGTAGTGACTTGGATATAGGAGCTTTGGAGCCGGAGAAATGATGGCATCACCAGTAGGATTGTAAAAGGTAGCAATGGAGAGTCTGCTTCCATCTTTGTCAGCCATGACACGGTGTAATGCGCTCTTATACATGCCATTACTCAAGACCTCCACCTGATCACCAGTGTTTACAAATATAGTATTGTCCTTAGAAGGTGGTATCTGCACCCATTTTCCATCCTTGAAGAACTCAAGACCTGGGACTTGATCATCCTGGAGCAAGAGAATGATCCCACCTGCATCTGTGTGCTCTCGTAGCCCCCTTATAAGTTCAGGTCGAGGACACTGAGGATACTTTGCCAGCTTCGTTCCCACGGAGGGACCTGCAGTTCCTGAGAATGCATTCATCAAGTAACTTTTCTCCAAGCCCAAATTCTCACACATGAGCTCTGAAAGCTTCTCTGCAAGCTTAATCACCTGTTTAATATATTCATCCATTGCTTCTCTGAAAATGTGCATTTGTCATCGATCAGTATACATAAATACATATATGAGAAAGGTACAGTAAGGTTAATTGGAGAGCTTCCCTATATCTATATGAACCCACCAATTTATCCCTTGTGTTGGGATCTTTTGGACATTCTACATCCTACATCAGATGGGGGATCCACTAGATTGGCCACTTGGTCAAGTTCAACCCCACAGTATGTATCAGCCATATGCTCTACCTTGTATTATTAAAGCATTCAAAGCTTACGAAGCATGTTTATTTTGTGCCATGGTGCATCAGAGATGACACAGTGATCACTTAGAATCAATCAATGGACAACATATGCACCCATTGGTAGGTATTAGAGGATAGTTACAGATGGAATTCTAGTATTTAATTTATAAATCAGCCAACTATTCTGAAAATGTGTCGATGGCTCTGCAAATTCCATTTTCTGCACAAAAAAGAGCAGAACGTATAGCTATAGCATTATCCTCTGTGACTTTAGAACCAAGACAGAGGAAATAAGATATATGAGTTAAGGCTCACCGAAACTCCTTTGAGAGGTCCTTGAACTCATCAATGTTTGAGGTTGGCCTATGCCAAATGAAGAAAGTGGTTTCCCAGTCAACATCTGAGGTAACACCTCTGCTCTCTAATCCTTTAGCTATCTCAGATTCGTAGAAGCTCTCCTTCGTGCACTTGTCATAATGCTTGTTCACTAATTGCTTCACTTTCTCCATCAGCTCTCCATCAACTCCATGGTTCACAACCTGCACATATCCATGCATGATCACACTGAATCAAATCAGGTCAAAGTAAAGCAATCAAATAAGAAACAAGTAATCAGCTGTCAATTCTCGCAACCTGAAAGAAACCCCACTTCTCACAAGCCTGGTGCAGTAACGCCATTGTCTCACTCCTTTTCTCACCATTGAGACCATTAAAGTCTACCACAGGGATATCCATCTCTCTCCTCTTGCTCAGAGACTAAGAAAAAACAGTAACTTACGGACTGAAAAAAAATAGTAACTTATCGAAGTATATATATAAGCATTTGAGCAAAGCTGGGAATGGATTTTGAGTTATAATAATAATAGGGTAGCGAACAATGGAAGGAAGGATAGACCTTCCTCGGAAGGAGGACTGTTGTGCCCCTTGAGAATAGTGAGCATAATCAAATGGGTCCACTGTCCACGTTCGCTTCACCATTGCACCATGTTCTCTTCTTTCAGATGTCAACTAGGATTTCTTTTATTTGTTATATTGTAGAAAATTTCTCTTGATCGCTTGAATCTTGCCTTGCAATTCTCATCATGTTAATCTCTCTCTCTCTCTCTCTCTCCACATTGATTCAAGTAAAAACTCCATTTTTTAATTATATATTTTTGGTGCATTTCCCTAATTGGTTGATTCTTGTCTTGTGTCATCTTTTAAATCAACTAGCTTTATTCTGCATTTAATGTGTTGTTCCCAGACAACCCAGCAAAAGTAAAGGGTAATGGACTTCTCCATACAACCAATGGGCGCTTTGGGTTGTAATTCGACACAAAATATATTGCACTGAATGTGAATGTACATTACACCGTGCTGGAGTGCTAAATCCAAACAGACCTTGCTATTGTTTATGATGAAACTGCCTTAATTTGAGTGAATCCTTGAAATTTTCTTCACTCAATTCTTTGTGTTCATGAGCATTGTTGTGAGATCTGGTTTGGACATTAATCAGCTCAAACTCAAAGCATGTATTGAGACGTACATCTCAAATAGATTAGTCCATCCACAATATATTATAATTAACCCCAATAAAGATCCCAGGTCTCGATCCACCCTCGATTCAAACTCAGTCATCAGTCATCACTCCTTTTGTATGATGTGCATATAGAACCTTGCAAACCAGTATGAAATTTTCCAGAATTGAGTCAAGCAGACTGCATCCAGTTTAAATTTGAATAATCATTTTTCTGGTTTGAACCTATATTGATCATAACCTCCCTGCCAACCAAACTTGCGGTTGCCCCATCAATATTTACTAATAAAAACATGTATAATACAGCAATTAACTGGACTGCTGCTTTTATTTTCAAGATCTTCAATAAATTGTTTTTTGCGTCGTATAATTTTTACTTATGTTTGAAAGTGTAAATGGTTTCATCGTTAGTTGAACAGTGGTTTGGTGTTTAATTTAGCTCTACGATGTAGTTTTATCATCATATGCAATGTATCTACAACTACACACTGAAGTTTAATGTTTTTTCATGCGTATACGATGAACCTGCAAATCAAATCCAAGTTCAATGTTGCAAATGACACCATTGTCTAATAGAAGAACGTAACCCAATGTAACATAAAATAGGAACATATGTCACCTCAAACTGTGGTTAGGAGTGAGAAGTATTCAGATGAGCATTCAGTTTATTTGGTTAAAAACCAAAGTGAATAAATTAAAAATTTTTGTGCAAATTTCTTAACCCCTACTGTTAAGGTTTGGGAAATTGACTAACTATACCCCTACTGTTTTGGTATTGTCTTAAAGTACCCCTACTATTTCTGACAATTGACTAAATCTTCCTCACTGTCATTGTCCATTAACAAAAGAATTAAAAAGGCTATTTTGCTCATCATTCATCTTTAAATTTGCAAAATGAGGGCCTGTCAGAAAACATTACTCGATGCTCGATCTGAATCTTGGGGATGACAGGTAGCACCGACAATTGGGAGCCTCAAACCCAACTCGACGAGTGCAAATATACTGAAAACGGAAGAGCTTCTCCGTTCATCTTTTCCAATCGATAGAAAAACCTCAAACCCAACTTGATTTCTTTTCGTGGGGAGATGTTCTCAATACAGGATCGAGAAAATGCAGTGAGGCGCCTGTGGGAATCTATTGACACTAGTTTTATTGGAAAGTCCATTTAATAACTCGATTGAAGTGTACTTAGTTTTTTTGGGGTTTTCACCAAACATAACTTATAGGCCTTTTTGTGTAGGAGCCCATCTTGCAAAGCTATAAGTTATTGTGTGAAAGCCCTCCCAAGATGGGCACTGAGCTGCTTTGGAGAATCCACTAAAAGAAGGTTCAATAAAAAGCCCCGTTTTTAGCTTAAATATAGCTATTTTGGGCTTTCTGAGGTTTTCATAGATTGTGGGCTATCTGTGTTGAATCATGATCTCCTGCTAACAAAACATGTTTCAATACCCTTCCAATCTGACATTGCACATTTCACCATGATACTAAGACCCACCAACATGCATGAAATGCGGAAATGTTGTAACATTTTCTATTGATAGGAGATCCAGACTCATATAGCTGGGGTTCACTTCATGAAGCTAGAAAAACAGCTTTTTTTGAAAGCCCATCCCAGATGGAGAAAAACTTTGGCTGTTTAGCCAAAACAGCTTAGGCCGTTTTCCATCTTTCTACACACATGATACATTCATGATAACATTATCTAATTCATGTCCTTGTTTGTCTTTTTGACTATATAAATTACAAAAATTCTTTTACCCATGGTCATGATAACATGTCATGAGCAAGAAGGCTTCTCAAAGCCCGACTCTTACACTTTTACCCCAAATTAATTTCGAGTGTATCTTAACTTCTTAAATTTAGAACATAAATATCTTAAAATTTTCATTCAACCACTTCAGCTGTTAGGACTGCTTACTCAAAGAGCAGCTTTGCTAAATATGCGTTAATTTGATGTATTACCGAACTCTCTATGACTCTATAATTGTAAATTTGTAATATAGCCGTATCGGTAGGTTGGATGGAGCGGAGGCGGAGCTATATTTGATCGCATATGGGTCAGATTCGGGTCGACATAATCTGATAGGTTTTGGATTCGAATCGGACGCACACAGATAGCTTTGTCATCTACACGTGAAATGGGGTTTAAGCTCAGGGCCGTATAAGGCGAGTCTGCTACTCCCTTGGGCGTAGCCTTGGGCTGAAACCGTGAACCACAACCGTCAAAGTATTGTTGTGGTCAGTTGGTCACACCACACCTTGAATTAGGGAACATTAAGGTGGGGCCACGCGATTCATCAAAGGCCGTCATTTCATGGTATTAGCCGAAGACTTCACCAGTGGATGTAGCGGATTTCACTTCCCCTGGGCAAAAGGGATTTTTGTTTTCGTTTTGATAAGCTGAAGGCCTCTCTCTCTCTCTCTCTCTCTCTCTCTAGTATGTCATGGATTCTAACAACGCCCATGCCGTGGCCATGGCTGCGTTAGCCTCTCAAACCCTAGTCCCTCCCGGTCTCGACGGCAAACCAATGGTCCATCACCGCCAGAACCCAGTCGTAATACCTCCATCCCAACCGCCCATTGCTCATGCCCCACCCGTCCCCGAGGCCGTCATGTCCCCAATGGGCATCCAGCATCAACCTTATGATCCCCACTACCTCCACCAACAGCAGAATTACGGATACAAAGACATGCACATCAACACCCTCTTCGTCTCCGGCCTCCCGGACGACGTCAAACCTCGGGAAATTCATAATCTCTTTCGCCGGCGTCATGGCTTCGATTTCTGCCAGCTCAAGTACACAGGCCGCGGCAATCAGGTTTTCTATTTCCTTTCTTTCTTCAAAATTCCACACTTCATAAATTACAGGGTTTGATTTTGCCTGCTTGAAGTACTTAACTAGGGATTTTTTTTCTTTATTAAGCTAATATTTTTGTTCTTCAACTTCGAATCCCTTCTAATGGTTTTGTGCTTCGAGTTTACAGACTACACCCAAGCTTCAAACTAGTAAAAAAAATAAAGAACAGATCCACCCTCCCAATGCCTATCTATGATTCATACTAACTCCTAAACCTTGCTTGCATTCGATAAAAGTTTCCTTATTGGTGGCAATTAACTGATCGAATCATACTTCCTAACTGCATTAACATGTTAATGTGCGGGTCGTGTCCGAGTTGGCGTTATGGCATGCTTGGAAGCTGACAGTTACCCGCCGTTTTACTGAAGGATCCGACTGACCCGTTTGCACCTTACCGGATCCTGGATTAGGTTTGGCATCTACAACCTGGTTGATAATTGGGTTTATTTGGATGAGTATTTGCTAACCCAGCCTGTTGTCACCTCTTTGTCAATCCAATTTATTTCATTTTTGTGTTTTTTTTTTTTTTGGGGGGGGGGGGGGCTCAGCTACTTTTGCAGTAGCTGCATTTGCATGTACATTTGTGCAGTAAGTATCCCACTTATAAAGTTTTGAGGTCCATCTCATAAATTCCCTATCCCTGCTTTGCAATTGAAGCAACTGCCACAAAATATTGTCAAGTTTACCCAATTATTTATACTTCATAATTATCAATCTTGGACTTTTCTTCTATCCTTGTACCCTGTTGCAACCTGAAGCTTTTTGCGGTAGATCTCACCATTAGGATGGATTTGTTGGGTGCCTTTGTGAAATTTCTCCTACATGTTCCCAATTCTAAATGCTGATTGTCATGTTCTCAGTCTTCCATACTGATTGGCTAGCATTTCTTTATCTCAACTAGATTCCATATCTCTGCTTTATGCACTTATCCTTGGATTCACCATCTTACGACACTCGCTATTGTGTTCGTAACAGCTAAAATGCACTTCCTGACCTTGATCTCAAACTTTTGCAATATTCATCTGATCTATGGATATATCTAACAGATCCTTGTCCTCAAAGATCTTCACTTTTGACTCATGTTTACTTCTTTCTCTCTTGCATTACAAGCACTCCTCAGAGGATACCTATGCAGAAAATAAATGGAACAAACACGTGTCTTTGGCTAAGTCGTTCCAAGTGAACCTGTAAAATGATGGTCAATTTGATACGTTTTTTCAACCTTTAGGAAGATTTGTATTTAAGGAATCACCATATTGACCCTTTCTTTATTATTATAAAATGGATTTTTTTTTTTAAATGCTAATACAAAGCATTATTCCTTATTTGCAGGTTGTTGCATTTGCTACCTTTGTCAATCATCAATCAGCAATGACAGCATTGCATGCATTAAATGTGAGAAAATACAGTAATCATTGATTTCATTTATTTATTTATTTTTTTGCAGTTTTATGTTCTCTTTCTTTTAATTGTTTTGGTGTAAGATGAAGGGGTGGGGAGAAAACAAGCAAAAGAGGCCCAGAAGGGCCTCCAAGGCTACCCACAAAGAATGGCTATATAGTGCAGTACAGGTGTAGAAACCATATTTGGCAAGGTTGTGAATTAGAACCATTTGCTGACTTTCGCATCCAAGAAACTGGAATATTCAACATAAGTTCCAATGCTTGCACCTCTCTAATATATGATATAGTTTACTGGAATACTTCCCTACCATGCAAGGGTGACCCAATCACAATAGAACAGTCATCTTCTAACAGTACTCAGATTCCTTTCTCCATCAATCAAATGTTATTGGAGAGGCATCATCTGGACTGCAACTCATTCCATTTTCCATGAAGCATATTTAAATTCTCAACCATCTTTTGTGTGAACCTCATCCAAACTCCTTGTACAGCATTATTTTTACTATTTCAAATGTGAACCATTGGCAACCCACATTCCACTGGCTTTAGGATAATTTTACTCGTGCAGCATTCTTTGTACTAAATTCTGATGGTTGCTGATAAAAAAATTTCTCTGAGGTTCAAGAATCTAGAAAACAGAGTCTCTTTCAGATAATCAGATTATCCAACATAAATACAGAAATACATAAGACTCCAGTTGTAGGAAAAACTGGAGCATGAGGTCAGACAACTAAAATGAGCTTCTTTATGAGCAGTCGAGGAGACAAGAGGGCGTTCCTATCTAAAGTTGTTCCAATTATGCTAGCTGCATGGGTTCTCATCATGAGCCTTGACACGTTACCATCTTTTTTTTTTTTTTTTTTTTGATCAATTTGACACATTACCATCTTCTTCTTCTTACTGTAATCATTTTTATCAATAAAAATCTTTATCTTCTTGATGAACAAATAGAACAGGTTATATTTGGAGTTATATTTTCTGGTTTTTGTCAGCTATATATATGTTGTTCATAATCTTCTACTAGGGCTGCATGGACATCCCACTTTGGAGGGGACTTGTGAGTCAATTCATGTCTGACTCTCTAGAATATGTTGGATTCAGCTACAATGCGAATTAGGTGGATTTACGAAAGTTCCTTCTGTGTTGACTTTTAAAATTTAGAAATCCTTACCTTAACCCCCTCTATGTGATAGTGATCCAAGAAGGGTTTAATTTTCATCTTTTCATTAGCAAAATCTCTTTCAAGCACCGCTATTGATCATAATAGGAAAACAAGAATAGGATAAGAGAAGTTTGAAGAAAAGTCAAAGAATACCATTTTAATTTTTTTGATTGATAAAGATATCTTTTCAATGAACAACTAAAAGGAAAACTTTGAAAGAACATTATGTTAATATCAGAAACTATCATTCCCAAATAGATGTTCATGGGTGTCGTATTATTTTGGATGCTCAAATTTTGAGTGCCAATCCCATGTTCTACACCTTTCCCCAGTCTGTGTCCTTTTCATATTTGGGCAATTTATTAGGAGAGAATATTCAAATGAATTCTTATATATTAACTTTCTATTTAATTGATAAATGATTACATGTGTGAACTTGGAAATTGGAATATACTTGCTTTCCCTCTAAAATGATTTAGAGTCTCTCTCTCTCTCTCTCTCTCTCTCTCTCTCTCTCCCAAAGTTTTACTTAGTTCAGGATAGGTAGTGCAGAATTTTCACTTTGTTTATGGTTTAAACTTAAAAGAGGTTTTCCTGAGGCTATTGATAGATAATGATAAAGGTATACTGGTGGGAGATATCTGAAATTTTGGGCCATGGTTGTTTTTGTGGTCCATGGCATATACACAAGGAAAGGAATTCATATTTTTTATAGAAGTCAAGATCGGTGGCTGAAGTGGTAAATATAGTATGATATCTGTTAATGAGACAGGTGTGTCATGTGTGTATTAGGTGAATTTTGAAATAGAAAGATGCATTTCAACTGTTGGGATTGGGGAATCTATCAATGGGAAGGTTTTAGTTTCTAAAATGTATGACTGTGTAATTCTTGTGATACTTGATGTGTTTATTCCCCATTTTAATAATGGAACTTTCAAGAGTAAGTAAAAATAAATAATTGATAAATCTCTTCTGCGCAAAGAACATCTGTTTTCATGTCCCCTTTATGTGATGTCAATAGTTATGGTCAAGACCTTATCCAGGAATGCAGTGCACACGAAGAAGGATTCTTCTGATGGCACATTAGCCTCCCAAACACAACACCAAGAAAAAGAAGTATATGGTCCTAATCCTTTTAATTAGGACTTCCACTTTGTATTCGAGTTTGTCTTTACTATTTTGATAATGGATACCTTGAGAATGAACTATAATGGAATTCAAGCTAAAAAGAAGGAAAAAAAAGAAGAAAAAGGAAACATATAAGCAAAGAGAAGAGCCTTCAACTATGGGCATGCTTCAGGGAATATTAGCTAGCTCAGACATAAATTGAAGTTTTGACATGGAAATTGCTTATTTCTTTGTGTTGTTCAATTGACTGCAGCTAGTAGATCAAAACATAAGAAAAATCCTTAGTCCTGTTTCAGTTGAACATTTCCAAAATTTAAACAATCTGGTAGATTTGGAGTGGAAGGACTTAATTTTACTTTTGGCTAGGTTGCTTTCTTGATAAGGTTCAGCTTCTGTTACTTCTATCTTAATGTAGATTCCCACTGATAATTGTTTCAGGGTGTAACATTTGATCCTCAGAGTGGAGCTACTCTGCATATTGAGTTGGCAAGATCAAATTCACGGAGAAAACATCCTCCAGGTAATATGGCATATATTGTTGTTTGATATTCCACTTCTACAAGTTATAATTGTACCCTCTTGATTGGCCATATATGTAGCACCTATGTCCATGCCATCCCCTTATCATGGCTTAGACTGAATGTTCCCCCTATTAATATAGCTGGTCATGTTCTATTACTTGAACAAAAAAAGATGTAATGAGGCCTCTTTTGTCCATGTGATGGAGGATATGGCTGATGCTTGCCACATGAGGAGATGATAAGGTGTAATATGTGGAAACCTTTGGATGCCTAAATTTTTACAGTTTAGATGCTTTAAGATACTATGGATGAACAAACTCCTTGTGACATCACTAGCAGAAAAAAAAACCCATTTAAAACATTAGGACATGACTTTCTGGTGTTTTTGATGGTTAGTCACTGAAGCTTTAAGGATCTTCATTATACCTTTTGACTTGGTTTGACATGTTTTCTTTGTTTTCAGGAAGTGGAGCCTATGTCATTATTGATAAGAGACTTAAAACAGAATCTGATGCCCAAGAAACCTGGAGTAATGATGGTAATATGATATTATGATGTGAAGACAAACTTTAGAAGGCAAAAAGAAAATGCCATTGTGGCTATTTCTGGGTTATGAATTTTGCCAACTTAGTTTTTTATTGTGGTCTAAATTTCTTTAACTTGGTCTACATCTTGGTTATCACTTCACAGTCCTTTCCATCTGAGAATTGCTTATGCAGTCTAGAATTCACTAGGCACTGTCACCAAACTTTGTTCTATGGCTCACTTGGCACCTGTTTTGGCACATTTTGCACGTTCAGGAGATGGTGGATCTGATGAACCATCCGGCACCGATAAACCTAATTCCAGCAACAAGGGTGATTTAGCTACTGCAGAGAGGTTCAAATGCACTCAAAAAGCACAGTAGTTATTTAGTTAGTGTTAAATAGATAAATTAAAAATTCTTATTATATGGAAGTCTTGTGTGCAATGAAAAAAGCCTCAGAATCTTGAGTTCTTTATGTCATAGTTTTGCATTAAAGTTAACTTATGTTTCTTATTGTGTTCAGTGGTGAGAGCAAGGTTGATCCTGATAATAATGCTGGAGCTGCAGTAAATGTGAGTATAGATCACGAATTATGCTATTGCTGAATATTGGTTACAGATTGGAGCTATCATATACGTAATGAGAGAAATAATGAAATCATCTTTTATTATTAAACAACAACATTGTTATTGTTGCTGCAATATTTTGCTATATATTGTGCACATTTATGGATATAGACAGATATCCTCTTCTTGATTTAATGTAGAAATGGGGTTATTTATCTCCTTCCCCTACTGGTTTGTTCAGTAAAGCTCACAGAGGAGCAGTTGGCATCTTTCTCAAAACAATTGAAGTATAAGGAGCAAGGAACTTGTTTATGCAACGAAGAAGAGAAGATTCTGATGATGTGAACCATCTGGAACACAGATGAAACCAACATGCTTTGAGGATGAAGCATATTTATTCCTGAGCCTTTTGTTTTGCCTTCTTATCCTTGTAGATGCTTATGTATTTCTATTGATTTTTTTTTTTATAGATAAAAGATATGTATTTCTATTGATTGGATACTCCGCTTATATTCCTTGGTTCAGGCTAATTGTTGTGATTTGACTATTGCAGGAGCTAACAGAAAAACTTCCAGCAGGGGAAGTACAACCATGTTCTACTTTGTTCATTGCAAATCTGGGTCCAAATTGCACTGAAGAAGAGCTGAAGCAAGCATTGTCTCAGTAAGTTTCAGAATTCAGACATGTCCACACTCCACACCTTCATTTCTGCTTTGATTGTAAGCATTTTGGTCTCATCAAATGCTTTATTCTAGCAAGCCAAACTTTTTACATGTTTTTTTTTCTGTTTTGCACATCTTAGTTTTTAATAGCACAGACTATGATAACTTATCTCTGTCATGGTAGATTTACTGGATTCTATGTACTTAAGATGAGAGCCAAGGGTGGCATGCCAGTTGCTTTTGCTGATTTTGAGGTATACATGTTTTCTGTTTCAGCAACTGTTAGTTTGGATTTTATATAATTGACTGTTTGTTTTAAGGGGAGCAAGCTTTTTGAAGCCTAGTTAAGACCTAAATTGGAAATTGTGATATCTTTTATGGGAAACCTACTTACCTGGAAGAACTGAATTATATATCCCATGATGTTGAGGATTAGCTAAATAGTTTGCACTGAACTTTCCAATGTTGAGATCGCAATTGTTTTTGACAAGGGGCTTCTTCTGCAAATCCATGTTTCTCAGTTAACACAACCTCATTTGTTGATGTTATTTTGGGGTTTATGATTAATTTCAATACATGCAAGGTGCATCTGGACATGGGAGTAGCTACAACTTATCTGATGCAAGGGAAAACACCTTTTTCCTTTTCCTTTGAGGGAGGGGTTGATGAGTGGAATGGGTTGGAGGAGGAAAAGGAAAATATACACATGTTTTTATGTTTTCAAATGATAATAGTACAATCTCACACCCTGCAAGGTTGCAACCAGAAATGGATAAACCTCTTATCCACAATTTACTTTAGCCAGGCAGAGCTAACCTTGCAGTCTGATGCCCCTGTATTTTCTTTTATTTTTTTTCTGTCATGACCCCAATAATTGCTTGCTAGATTGCAGTCCTTGATTTATTCTAGCTGCATTTAAAAATAACTTTCCCTTCCTTTCAATGAACATTGGTGTGACAATGCTTGTAAGTCCATTTTAAGGAATCACCTGATCTCCTGGATTTAGGAAAAAGGTTTATCATATTAGGGTTAGCATGAGTAGAAACCCTAAATGGTATTTGACATTTTAATCACAATGAAATATACTAATTTCCATATATAATAGCATATTAATTTCCCACAAAAGCTGAGATATATATTGATTTTATATCCACAGCAACATGTTTGTTGTTGACAGGATGTTGAGCGTGCAACTGAAGCCATGCAGAGTCTTCAGGGAAGCATGCTACCTTCGTCCGACCGTGGCGGTTTGCACTTAGAGTAATCTTTCTTATCTTTATTTATAATAATCTTGAATATTATCTCCGATGCAGAGTGACCTTTCTTATCTTTATTTACAACAATTTTGAACATCATCTCCTGAACTCACATACTCTGAGCTATTTGCATCTCCCACACACTGAAACCAAGTGATCATTCTTTTGTGCTTGCTCAGATATGCGAAATCTAAGATGAGGAAACCTTGATAGAAGGAACCGCTTCTCCAGTCCCAGACACTTGTCAAGCAGAATGTGACGGATTTTGACCCAAGTCAAGATTCCTGAGCTCGGCTAGCATTGTATTTGCCTGTTGTGAAGGGCCTTATAATGTATCCCCAACATAGTAAGGGCTATAGAGAGAACTATTTATTCATTGATGTATTATGCAACTTGGGTTTACTCATTAATGTATTGTACAACTTGGGTGCAAGACATTTCTTTTTATTTTGTTTCTAACTTTTTGAACCCCATGGCCTTGTTAAGACACTGAACCAGATGGTGGTTATGGTGCGTGCTTGTGAAATGTTTTAGACAATCTCTTGGACCCATTTAGTCTGTTTATTTCAATGTCTTCCGCAGCAGCAGTGAGTTGTGCTCGGGGAACCTGAATTTAACACATTTATTGGCATGGATGGTCATTGTTTTGCACTGTACAAGGAATATCTACCTCAGCAGCACCAGCAGCCGAGCTCAGGAATCAAAGAAATGGGATGTTAAACCATAGCCAATAATGGTCTGTAATAGAAAAAGCAAGAGGTGGTAAACAGAGGGTAGATGATAAATCCTTTCTTGTATGCTTGAAGTGAGGAGGTGGTGGCCGGGAATGGTCGACTGAGAGACTTAGGAGAGGATCCCTCTCCCTCCGCGTATTAAAAGAAAAAAAGTGGGGGTTCCTCTCCCTCTCTCTATTTCTTCTTCTATTTTCTCCATCTCTATCATTCGAAAATCTGGTTGAGATAAAAATGTTGGGTTCCAATTCGAGATGAATTCCCCCATACCAAAAATGGTGTGAAATAAATGATGATCCCTAGGTAGGGTTACAAATAACTTGGATCAGATTCGAATTTTGAAACTGAACTGAATCAGGTAAGAGCTGGATTTGGATACCTTCTTTGATCCTAATAAATTGGATAGAATCTAATAAGTTGATCCATTTAGTTACGATCCAATTCGTTTTGATCTGAATAGGGGTGCAAATGGATCGGATCCGATCCGATCCTATTTGGTCAAATTTGGATCACCCCTGGTTGGATCGGATTTGGATCACCCTCTACCCGATCCAATGTATTATATATTTATAAATATATATCATTAATATATATATGTATATATATATTACATGCTATTTATTTATTTATAAATATATTATTTATATTGTATTTTTATAAATTTGTTATATTATTACTTTTTTTTATAAAAAAACATATATATATTTACATATATATGATGAAAATAATTAAAAAATACTTGTATTTTTTTTTATTTAAATTGGTATATTTTATTTTTTCTTTTAATAATTTATTATATTTTAAAGAAAACAAATCAGGTCTGAAGATTCAAATTCAGATTGAGTCCTATTAGATCCGACTGGATCGGCTTTGAATCCGATCTGATCCGTTTGAATCCCTAGATCTAATTTGATCTTTTAGTTATGAAATATTATATATATATATATATATATATATATATATATATATATATAATGTTATTTATGTTATATCATCAATTTTTTTATTACAATCCAAATTGAATTAGATATCCAATAAGATATTTGAATTATAATTTTAAAAATTGGACGAATTCTTATCAAATTTAGATTGGTCGAATTTTTATCGAATTGGATATAATCTTTACCGAATTCGATCAGCCCTATCCATAGGTGGAATGAAAGGTGGGTGGATAATCCCAGGGTTTTGGTTTTGTTTGTAAAATAAGTTAAGATTAAAAGGCTAAACTTATCGATTGGTCAAACAGATGGACAATGGTCAGGTCAAATGGTCTCTGGTGACTGGTGAGCCCAGATTAGTGTTATTCGCTACACATTCATCATTCTAGCGTTTTAGGCTGTGGCCACGTCTATTAGTGTTGGAGTTTATTTGTTTGTAGTTTGTACTTGTTTTTTTGGGCCAAAAAAATAAATAAAATTCAAAGCCACCCAAAAAAAATGCATGGATTATTCTTACTTCTAATAAGGGTAAATTGGTCCACCAACTGTGTCTGTCTGTCTGTTTGCTCCGACACAGGAAGTAGCAATACTTGGGAGGATGACAGCTCAATTTGTGTCATTAGAAGAAATAAACCATTGGATTTGAACTTTTCAGTTAAAGGGGCCCACTTATATAAACGTTATATGCTTCACATTAAGATGCCACTGCGCTACCGTTGATCAAGTTGGTTGACCAGTGATCATCAGAAAACGAATCTAAGTGGATGGGTGAAACATCTGCTTGTGCGATACGGGGTGTCCCCAAACACTGCTTATTTGCGTAGTTGTAAATTTGTAATTCGTTGATTAACTGTCATTACAGTGCAAATAATTTATATTGATGCAAAATTATAATAATGTAAATAACTTGAGTGTAAATTTTGATTTATTTTTATTTTATATTTTACCTTACTTTGTTCGATTGTACTATAAATGAAGTACAATAAGACTTAACACCCGATAAAAAATAAAGTAAAACCTAAAATAAAATTAAACCAAAATATGCATTCTTTTCATTCTCATACATTTCGACTAATGCAAATAAGATTTCACTGCAACCAAACACATCCAAAAGGTTTATCACACATACACAAAAAAAAAAAAAAGTTGTCAGATGTCAGCTGTGATGATATTAAATGACATACGACACTTAAGCTTAAATTTTAATTAACCTCAGGTCCTCAACTATACCCAGGTTCCCTTTTTCTATTTCTACACCATCTCTCTCTCTCTCTCTCCCCTCGCCCCATGGCCCCCATCCCCATCACCAACAACAAATGAAATGAGGCACTCCTCTTTCCCACGCTGTCACTGTTAAGCTGTGCCATTCTGCGTTTCCTGCGTACCCGCCAGCGCCACTACCGTTCCCGGGTCTCTGCGCAATGAGGAATTCTTCTCCTCACCTTCTCCAATTCTTCTTCTCCTTCTCTGCTTTGCTCTGCTTCGCTTCTCTTCCTTCTCTCTCCTTCTCTCTCCTTGACGCTGAGTTGGCTCGCTCCGGGGACAGCAATTCCAATGAATCCAATGCTTCACGCTCGAGATCCAGAGAAGACAGCTTCGCTGGTATGATCGATCGGGCACTAGAGAAGGAATTCACCGAAAATGAGCAGACCGAAGGTTTGCTGGATCTACGCTCCTCCGCTCTTTCTTCTTTTCTGTTTTTACTTATGTATTTTGATTCGTTCCCTGTGGAGAATGAACTAGGGTTTTTGTTCGGGCTTTTCTCTGTTTGATATCAGTGTCGGGTTTCGTGTTAGTGCGAATAGGAAAGATTGTGAAGTTCGTCCTTGTGGATCAGCTGTATGTGGTTTTTGATGTCCCGGGGGACAAATGTGAGCATGATCCCATGCTGATTTTTCTTCCTTTCTCAATTTTGTTTTAACTCATTTCCATGAAAAAGTGATTTTCAGCCATATAGGCTCTTTTTTGTCTGCGCCTTAGAACCGAATTTCTTGTCAAAGCATCAGCGTTTTTCCTAACTTGCGTACATTAGTCCAGCGTTCTCTCAATAACTTGAAATATTAATTGCAATTTCCTGAAAGTTATTTCTTTCTGATCCTTTTGAACAATTTTGGAGACAGATAAGTATGCTTGTCTACTAAAATAACTAACGGGGAAGATTTTCCAGTTTAATACAATAATTTGTTTTCTGGAGTTTTCGTTTGTGATAGCTATTACAATTTACAATTTAGTATATTAGGTTTTCACGGTTTCTGCTGGTATAACATGTCTTCCACTTTATTTGGATTTGCTTTAGTTTGATAGGGTCAGCAAAATAGCACCCTGAAAGCAAGCACGACATATGGATCTTCACCAGTGCATGTCCCTCAATCTAGAGATTGAAGTTTTTAACGAATATTTCTTTTTCATTTGCCTCTTTATTTAAAGAGTCGGTGCTTGAGGTACACTGACGTGATTTCCTTGTGCAGAAGCCGATGCTGGTAGCTTCAACAACAGTGTTGCAGGACAACAGGTGGGTTACCATGTTCAATGTAAATTGTTCTTTACTCTTTATGGATGATATCAGGTTAAACAGAAAACTTTCTGGTTATTCTGATTAATCTATATGATCTTATGGATGCCTAGACACATTGCAACTTTTTAAGGCTTTAGTTGACCGTTGTCCATTTACTTTGTTGTGCTTCACGCACTTGCACAGAACATTTCTTTGGACTACGATCTAATTTTGGGTACGTGACTATAGCTTCCTAGGTGACATCTAATTTCAACTTGAGCTGTTCACCTGATATCATTCTATACAAAGTACAAACTGACTGACAACATGGTCCTCGTGCACTATAATTACTCTCATGTTATGATATATATTTTTGAATTTGTATTGGGTTGGGCAGGAAATTTTTCCAATCTGACCTGAAGTTTGTGTTGTTCAGTTTGGTTAGAAAGCCAGGTTGCACCCTTCATGAACATCCCAAGCCAAAAACAAAAGCAAAATAATGAGTTATTTTTAGATTCAGAATTGCATATCTGCATATGGAAAAGGATTTCTTAATCAAGTCGAAAAATGGAAGTTTGATATATTACCCCACTTATTTTACACCATGGGAGATTCCTGAATTGTGCTGACTCCATTGAACAACCCAACCATCAAAAATACAGTCAGACAGATGTGTGTCTCCAATGTCCAAATACACATTCCAAAATTCCTTTTTTTTTTTGATTAAGAAGCCAAAGCAAGTAAGCAAACCAATTAGTACTATCCATATTCTTTTCAACTAAGGAAACAGTTACAAATAAAAAATTGTGTTTGATAAATAAATGTTTAAAGATAATGCTCTACATATTGTGATGACGTCTCAAATCTTAACTAAGTTGGATTTGGATTAAATCATCAGTCGTACTGTTATGCATCTTCATTCTTCTTAATACAAGACATCTTTCATAGAAAAGGAAAAAAAGAGATCCTCCTTTCTCTTCTTCCTCCTCACCTCTTCCTCTTAAGGAGGTCCACGCCTGTTTGTGCTCGGGAGGCTTATGCCTCTTACATTCTGAACTACACCTCAGCCCTCCAGGCAGTGAAACACCTTGTGTCATGCCTCCACGTTTTAAAACATTGGTTTTCACCTCCCATGAGTATAATATGGAAGAAGTATTTGGAGGCCCATTACCCTTCTGTTTAAGTTGTCCATGGTGAGGCACATCTTCAGTACTACACTCCATTGGTAAGAAAGCCACTTTAAAGGAAGCTTCCAACTGCCAAAATTTTTATTAGGAAACAGTCCCTGCCTTCATAGTTTACTTTTTTATTGATAACAATCATAAAAGCTTTGTTAACTTGGTAAAAGAATAAATTACAAATTACAGAATTATGCCAAGCACCGCATTGTAGGTCAGCAGAAGCTTCCTACTCCACCCTATATATTCATAGAAGTTAGAAAGGACACCCATCACAAATCATTCCCCAATACAATTCTCCTCAATTGACTCCTTATCTTGTCAAGGTCTCTGCCATACTATTGGCTGATCAATAGACCCATGAAGGAATTATATTTAGTTTAATGGCTACCATTCCGATTTCCTCAATAAGTACATATATTTCCAAGTCCCAAGATGTTGTTCATAAGCCAGCCAACCATGCACTACCTTAGAATCTCCTTTCACCAATCACCACCATATTCTTATATTGAAGACAGCTAATAGTTCTGCCCTTGTTGAGTTCCATATCCAATATGTCTAGAAAAGATTGCTATTATATCTCCATTGCAACTTCTGAATACTCTGTCAATTGCTGAAGGTTCAGGATTTCCCAGACTATGCCACTGAGATTCATCTAGATCAAATTTCCCAGACTGCTTTCGTAGTTGAGCTTTCTGAAGGTCTCAGATCCAATCATCCTCCTGGTCTTGACAAAGATACTGGTTGTTACAGCAACCCAAATAGTTCTTCCACCTATTCTAATTTTCAATTGTTCATGTTTCTATGAAAGAGATGATTCTTGTTTATTACACCTGCAGGTGAGTGAAAGCAACCTTTTACTTAAGCATCTATGCTATCAGCCACCAAATAGAGATCAGGAAAAACCTCCATAAGTGGGCTATGTGCAGACCACAGGGCACAGGTTCCTTAAAAAACTGATCCTCTAACCATTTCCCACTTTCCTTTTAGTCCCCTTAATAAACTGAGGAAAAGCTTCACTTATACCTTGCCATTCCAAGCAGTCATAGGATAGTCTACCTCCCCTGTTATAATTTTTTTATCAATAGTACTGTTGGTTATAATTCAAACCATATTAAGCTTCAAATTCAATAATTGATTTTCACAAGCTAGCATTTTTCTTCAGGGATCTCCAAAACCATTTCCCTAATAGAGAAACGCTGACAGTTTCAAATGTCTGATTCCCAAACATCCACTCCTTTTGGGAGAGCAAACTCTATTCCTATCCACCACATTGATCTTCAATTTTTTTGATAAGTAAAAGATTCTTTAAAAATTCATTAAATCAGAAAAAAATAACCAACTGTTACAAGCTTCCCCAATGGAGGCACGAGATGCAGCCTCACTCATAAAGAAAAGACGGCACAAAAATTACAACTGAGACCAAAACAATTGGTCCCTAGTTACCCCTTGCTTAGCTAATGAATCAGCTATAGTATTTGCCTCCCTTCCCACCCATTGTATAATTAAGCTCATCTGTGCCACTGAATCCGGGTCTTGTAACCAGCCCGCCACCACCTTGGAATCCCCTTCAATCACCTGGTTTTCCAAGTTCATCCCTTTTGCAATCTGAACACCTTGTAGGACTGCAAACAGTTCAGCCCTTATAGAGTCTCCATTCCCCACTGGTCCCGAAAAAAGTGCTATCAGATTTCCTTCCCTATCTCTTATGACTCCTCCAATTCCAGACGGACCTGGATTGCCTTGGCTACTTCCATCAAAATTTAATTTCAAAAAACCTTCACTGGGAGGTGCCCATAACAACCTTGTTTTTGTCTTCTGTACTAAACTAGAAGCCACTGATAACATGTTCCTCCAAATATAATCAAAGGAGAACTGTCTAAAGAGATCCCAAGTTAGTAGTTTCTTGTTTGCTTCTTTGCTTCTCTTGGAAGATCCTAGCATTTCTTTCCTCCCATAGGGTCCAAATAATTGCTTCTCTGGTGCATCTCCACATTATTCTTCCCCTTCTTTTTGGCCACACGAAGCTAGCTGGATCAAACAAGATTCACCATCCGGTTTACATAGAGTGCACCAGTGCGGGGAAGTACACAGAAACAGACTCTTCTTCTCTAAGTAATCCAGAGTGTTAACTTTCCCATAAACCACTTCCCAACAAAAATCCTTAATTTTTGGAGGAATCGGTTAACACCAAACTTCCTTAGAAGGAAAGGAAAGATGGATAGGGGACCGACAAAGAGCACTAGAAAAAGAGGCACAAGAAAAGAAACCTTTAGGACTTGGACACCAAACCCTTCTGCCCGGTTTTGGAGGCTCTAAGAAGACTCTTTCAAGAAGCAACAACTCTGACAAAGAGGTGACTTCTTCATCCCTCAATCCCCTTCGAAACCCAAAGTCCCAATTATGACCCAGAGGAAAAATAGGAGGTGCTAGAAAAAAAGAGATGCTCTCATTTTTATACAAGGAGATGGAATACAAAAAAGGAAACAAGTCCTTTAGAGGCTGGCCCCCCAACCAGATGTCTTCCCAGAAGTGAATTAAGTTACCTGAACAAACATCATACCTGATAAACCTTAGGAAATGAGGAAGAGTGCTGTTTCCTAGGTGTTTCCAAAGTATCCCAAAGTGATACACTAGCATCCCAACCACTCTCCAATCTCCCATGGATACTGTTCACCACCTCATGCCATAATCTATCCCCCTTTAAAGGCCATCTCCATAACCACTTCCCTAATAGAGCCATATTCTTCTTTCTCACATTCCCAATTCCTAAGCCACCCTCTTTCTTGCTTTTAGACACAATTTCCCATTTAACTAGGTGATCTTTTTTAGACTCTCCCGGTTCCCAAAGAAAATCCCTCATGATTTTCTAACTTCTTCGCTTCCCTTGGTGGAATCCTAAACACAGAGAGGAATTTGATTGGTAGGTTAGCCAAAGTTGATCTTATTAGAGTGATCCTACCTCCTAGCTAAATATAGTTCCTTTTCCAAGCCGCCAATCTCTTCCCACATCTTTCTACATTTGGGTTCCAGAACTTACTTTCCTTAGGGTTGGCGCTTAAAGGAAGACCTAAATAAGTCAACGGCCACTGGGTGATGGGACACTCTAAGCAATCTGTTACCGAGTTTAAATCATCATCCGCTAGGTTAATCCCTACTATGCTAGGGTTTAAAATGTCAATGTTGATGGAAATGTCGCTTACCCAAATATAGGACAAATGTTGGTAATGTTGGAAATGTCGGATGGAAATATTGTAAAAATTATAGACTATTATCTTCCATGATGCACATGTTTATTATTAAGAAAATTATTCTAATAAGTAATTAGTTTAAGTAATACTTTTATTATTATATAAAAACATCTCACTATTTTTTGTTTTTTATGAATATTTTTATCTCAAATACTAACTTTCTTATTATTATTTCATTTTTTATTACTTTTATAATGAGGGTCTACAACATCACCATATAAACTATTTATTAAACCATATAAATTAGATAAACCAGTTAATATTTTATTATTTATAAAAATATTTTATTCATGCATTTTATTTTATTTTAATAAGTAGTTATTTTAATCATTTGTGTTTATGAATATTTTATATTTTATCTTAAATATTATTTTTCTTATTATTTATTCATTTTTGTTGGCTTTTATAATGAGGGTCTACAATATTACCATAGACCTTCATACACTTGTAATAAGACTAAAAGAATATATTAAAGATTCTTTTTATAAGTTTTCTATTAGGAGGTCTATAGTATTACAACAGACCCTATTGCACTGCAACATACTTGTAGTTATGTTTTGAAGATACCATTTAAAGGCATGCTTTTGTGATAGTCTATAGACCATCGTGTATTGTAGCATGTCTTTTATAACATAAACTTCAACATTAGGCTTTTTGGTTCATTGGTCATTCGAACCCTCAACCTGAAATTTCAAAGACTCCACAAAGACACAAAGACATAGTGCGATTGTGCGAGGATTTTAGGAATCCGCAGATGAAGACGCAGAAATATAAGAGGAAGATGAAGACAAGCATTCTTTTCATCCTCAACTCCACATCTTCTTCTTCTTTTGTTTTTTCCTTTTTCCCCTTATTTTTCATGGTTATTCACTATGAGAGGGAAATAGGGATAGTATTGCATACCTGAATCGAGATGAGACTTGAGAGTGAGACAAGAGCAATTTCCTTGGAGTTTTAGATGTCCAGTGTCCTGCATCTTCTTCCAAGAAGGTATTTGAGTGCAAGACTGAGGGTAGAAGCCACTTTTGTGCCTATTTGAGCCTGAAGTTGTAGTTCTTCCAGCTTCAGGTAAGTAAACTGAAAACTTCTTTTTTTTTTTCCATTAAATCTCTCTTTTTTTCTTTTTGTTTGTGATGAAACTTGATTGTCTTCACTTCGATGTTGTCGACATTTGGAAGAAATATTATACTTTTTTTTGTTTTTTAAATGACATAAGCAATATTTACCGAAATGGACGAAATATTGACCAACATTTTGTATTTTTTTAATTCAAGTGAGAGTTCATGTCGGTAGGTCTAACATCGACATGTTGGGCAACATTACCAAAGTGTCGTGACATTTTAAACCATGAGCTACGGAACACTTACCTAAGTTGATTTTCATGTTTGAGATCCCTTCAAACTTCTTGATCGATTGTTTTAATCCCCTCACCCTCCTAATATCATTGGAGGTGAGTAATTGGAACACTATTTCTGCCCACTCTCCAACCCCTAATCTCATATTCCCTATCAGCTTTAGAGAGGAGTCTACTAAACACATTGGCCACTAAAGTAAAAAGGAAGGGTGAGAGAGGATCCCCTTGCCTGGTCCTCTACAAACTGGGAAGAAGTCTTTGACCACTCCATTAACAATGATAGAGAAGTGAGAAGACCGAATAGAATAAAACACCCAATGACACCATCTCTCCCCAAACCCACACTAATGCAACACCTCTAATAAGAAATTCTAGTCCACCAGATCATAAGCTTTTTCTAGGTCCAATTTGCACACAAAACCTTCCTTCCCAAATTTCTTCAATTCCTCTAACATTCATTGGCTATTAGGATTTGGTCGATTATTTGTCTCCCTTGAACAAAAGCTCCTTGAAATTGACTTGTGAGAGAGGGTAGTACCACTTTAATCCTCAAAGAGAAGACCTTAGCAATTATTTTATAGATACTGTTCACCAAACTAATGGGTCGGAAATCCTTGGGTTGGCTTGCATCAGGTTATTTTGGAATTAGGGAAAAAAAGTTGCATTAACTCCAGGACTAACAATATGTGTATTCGAGAATTCTTTGAAGACTTCATCTTTCACCACTTCCCAACAGTCCTGATAAAAAGCCATTGTAAAACCATCCGGACCTGGTGCTTTAAATCTATCCATAGAAAAAACTGCCTTTTTTATTTCTTCTTCCTCAAAATCCCTTTCTAGCCACCTTGCTGCCTCCTCTTCTAATAAAGGCCACTCTAACCCTTCTAAGTTAAATCTTTCTCCCAATGGCATTCTATACAAGGATATGAAATGGTCCACAAAGATCCTGGCTATCTCATCCTGGTTAGAGGTCACTTCTCCATTTACTTCCAGCCTAGCCACAAAATTGTTGCACCTTTTGCTGTTGGCCATCGCATGAAAAAATCTTGTGTTCCCATCCCCTTCCTTGATCCATTTATGTCTTGACTTTTGTCTCCAGCAGATTTCCTCCCTATTGATGACTTCTTCCAATTCCTTTTTCAACTTTCCTCTCAGCTCCCTATCTTCCATAGTAAGGTTTCTCTCCCTCTCCATTTCATCCACTTCTTCAATCTTAGAGATTAGGGTCAATTTCCTTTCTTCTATCCTTCCAAAATGTTCCCTATTCCACTCCTTTATTTTAGATCTCAATCTTTGCAATTTTTTGTGGAATTTTATTCCCTCCCATCTTACCCCCCTTCAATCCTCCTTCCACCATTCCTCCACTCTGAGAACAAATTCTGGATGTGACAGCCACATATTTTAATTCTAAAGGGTGAAGGACCATGCAAGAAAGATTCTGAACCTAATCTAATGGGGTGGTGGTCTGAGGTGACTCTAGGCAAAGCTCTAGAAATCATACTTTCCCAGTGATCTACCCATCCTCTGTTGAAAACAAACCTACCCAGTTTTGAACACAATGGATTTTCAATTCTTCCTACATGGATCTTCAATTCTTCCTTCCAACCTTTTCATAACAAAAAATCACTCATGTATTTCTCCATTTCATCCGCTTCCTTGGCAGAATGTGAAAGAGATAAATAATCAGTAAGCAAGAAAGGACTTATTTCTGCAAGGTAACTTTACCTCTTTTCGGGTTTGTACATGTGTCCATCCATATACATATACAAAAGAGCCAACCTACCATTGAGGTAGCTTTAGGTTTCTGGAGAAAGTACTTGAGGTCTTAAAAAACCAGTCTGATGCTTTTTGTTTGGGTTGAATCTGACTTAAGTTGCACCTTATACCCTAGTAAATATTGGTTGCGGATTTGCAATGCCAACTTTGTCTTGGATTGATTCTCAATTTTAACCATGCGTCAGTTGTTGACTTGCTTTTTGAAAGGGTCTTCTTTTTTCGTTAATCAGTCAAGACAAATTCTGTTAAGAATTATGAATTATATATGTTTATCTGAAAATTGAAACTGATATGAATTTCAAGAATGTTTATTATGTTGCAGGAGAACATACCATGTTAAGTGATTGTGCTATCTTTCTCTTCATACTTGGTTTGATGGAATAATGGAACTTGGCATAATTCTTCTGCTGAATATATAATTTTTTGTGTTTTTGTTCATCAGGCTGTTCTGGAAACTGTAGCTAGAGTCAAGCCCAAGAAAAATGACACCAAGGAGGAGAAGTATGCTCTATAATGTGAATAAATAAATAAATGATTTTCATAATTGGTGTTTCATTGGATATTTTTCTTTATTGGCACAAGGGGAATTTAGATCCCTTTGAAACTTAAGCTTTATTATCTGAAATTTGAATTCTACTGACCTCTTTGCGTCTTTTATTATAGGTCATTTCAACTTCATGATGTATTCAATTTGGATAATGAGAATCGGGCAGATGATATGCCAACACTAATTGATCGTCGGGTATATTTTGCATGTAAAACTATGACGTTTTAGTTTGATACTTTGTACCTGGACTACTTTGTTGGTAACATGTCCTGATGTAATTAAAAATGGGAATTCTTAACAAGTTTGTACAAAAAATGGGAATTCTTAAGTCTTAACAAGTTTGTACACAAATACTTCTTTACTTGTATCTTATAAAAGTTCAACAATTACCAATCAGAAAAACATAGCCCAATGCAACTGCTTGAACTGCTTTTTCAGGACAATGTCTTCATTATATCCAATCCGAAATCCAAATATCCTGTGCTACAACTGGACTTGAGGTAACCTTAATTATTTCTTTGTTACAATTAAATTTGTAACTAATGTCAATCTGTGCTTTACTAAACTGTTGAGCTCACATTCTTTGAAGGTTTATATCAGATCTGGTAGTTGTTATTGTTTCTGCTACTTGTGGTGGAATGGCCTTCGCTTGTGCTGGACAACCGGTCAGAACACCATCTCTGCTCTATGCTTTGTTCAAATGAACTGTTCTTATGTCTGCATGCCCTAAGTTTTTGTGGCACCGACATCCATCTTCCCTCAAATTTTCTATGAAAATTACTATAATGTACTTATAGAAGTGCATTTCATCCATTTTGAATTTCTTGCAGGTTATTACTGGATATTTGCTAGCAGGATCTGTTATTGGACCTGGAGGGTTGAGTTTTGTTAGTGAACTGGTGCAAGTAAGTTGGTCTTATTTTGCGATATGTTTTTTTATCGGTAACAGTGTAAATTTTATTGATTGTGAAAAAGAATTTTATGGACAATAAGGAAACTCAAATATTAGGCTATCATTCTTCCTATCCCCTTCCTCCATATTTTGCTTTGACTTTTTTACATTCATCTTACATTGGTGATTTCCCAAAACATATGTTCCCTATTGATCCCCTGTTGAGCAAATGAGTGAACCAAGCAGTTTGTGGTCTGTTTAATGATGTAGGAAAGTGTAGATTTATGTAAAAGAAGTTAGACACCCTATTTTGAACACCAAGTAGTTAGACAATATGCTCCCTATTGACCACCTGTCGAGCAAATGAGTGGGGCAAGCAGTTTGTGGTCTGTTTAATGAGTTCTACTTGTAGGAAAGTGTAGATTTATGTAAAAGAAGTTAGGCATCCTTTTTTTTTTTTCAGTAAGAAGTTAGACGACACCCTTGTGTATGTGTAGACCCAAAAAGGCTTTCCATGTTACACTCCCGGTCCCCACCTTGTATTCATGGAACAAATTTTAGCCCAAAAGACCTTACCATGTGCTAAAAAGAGGCACTTTCCAAGGGTGAGTTTTATATTAAAGAAGGTAAAACCTTATATGGAAAATATTAGTTGTCTAAATGACCAATACAGAGCGGGGTATTAGGTTAATGTGGATTGGGAGATGAAACATATGGCCAATTCAGAAGGTCCCCTAGTTGGCACTTGGTTTGTATTGGATGGAGCATTAATCCACATGGTAGAGCCATAGAAAAGCTCCCTACTTGATCCAATTAGGAAATTGTTTTTGATAAATAGCACATTTATATTTTACTGATCATTCACACAAATATAAACATTTTCTTTTGGTTCATGTACACTATATGGCCAATATTAGTTGTCTAAATGACCAATACAGAGTGGGGGGATGCAGGCAGAGAGAGAGAGAGAGAGAGAGAGAGAGAGAGAGATCTACCAATGAAGTCACTTGAAAATTTAACTAGACACATAGCATATTATTGGGCGAGATACGTCTGTACTTGTGGTATTTGTTCCACAATGTGATGAGCGTGAACTGACCACCGCACAGCTTTTTACTCGTGGTGAACGGCGACAAATCTCAGGGCAGTTTCAATAGAGAACAACAACAACTTGCGAATGGAGAAACTTTGGAAAAGAGTAGCCATAATCGGCCAAAAAACTTTTGACTTGGAGTTAATTTTAGGAGATCAAGAAGACCTTCTTGAGGTAACAAAAAGAAGCAGAGGTTCCTGGACGAGACTAGTTCTCTCTATTGAAGAAGTAAATTGGTGGAGAAACTGTATCCAAGAGGTACTCCAGAATCAGAAACAAACACTCGAGAAGAAATTTCGAAATGATCAGGGTGGATTCTTAATTCTCCAACTAAAAGAGAATAAATGGGGGAGATTCATTCGGTTGAGTAACTGGGAGAAATCTTCCAAGTGGAGAAACATCTGCATCCCAGAAGAATACTCAAGTGAAGGTTGGAAAATCTTTGTAAACCTGCTAAGTGCTTTTGTCCCTAAAACAGAGAACCTCTGTCCTACCTCCCCCATTCTAAACCCTTTTCCCTAGCTTGAGAAAAGAAGTAAGATCATAAAGGCTGGAGGCTGCTCTTTCATCTCAGTGGTATACCAAGACAAACCATTCGAAAACTGGAAGCAAGTGTTCACCTGCACCAAACCAGACTCCCTGTCTTGGAGAAGTCGAACTAGGTCTCTCAGCCAACTTTCACACCTGAGAGATCTTAAAACTCTTCCCATTTGACTCAAATCGAGTGGTAGGTTTTGCTCCCTCCGAGGAGTTAGTTCTAAGGTGGGCCAGTTTAGAAAACTCTTTGCTGTATGGAAAGCCAATCTTCTTAGAACGATAGTCTCCGATGATAAACACCGTTCCAGATTGTCTAAACTTCAATGGCTGGGTAAAAATCTATGGGTTGCCCTTCCACCTCTGGACGGAAGAAATTTTCTCCTTGATTGGAAACCTGTGTGGTGGTCTAGTGGAAATAGACAAAAATGAAGAGCCTTCAAGATTTGAACTCAGCTCGAATAAAAGTGAAGAGCCATGGAGTTCACTTGATCTCTCGAATGGTTCCCCTGCTAGACAGAAATGTCTGGTTCTACATTTCAGTGGAGGTGGAGAAGACGACTGAGTCACTTGCCCCTCAAGCTGAGTCAACTCATCATTCCCTTACTGGGGAAGGATCAAAGGCTCCTGTATAGCCGAAACCCACTTCAGGAAACTGTTGGAAACCAGAAGAGCTACTCAGGACAGGAAGTAACTCCCTTGAGAAGGTAACCTCTGTTACCAAGAAATCCCATTCTCGGTCACTTAAAAAAAAGGAGCCGGAAAAGCAGAGCGGGCCTTGCCACATGCCCAACAACAGTTCAAAATTCAAACAGCTGGATCTCTGTGGACCCGCAAATAGGCATCAAAGAGATGTTCATAGACCTCCCTCCATATCAGACAGGTCCAGCTCATCTCCTTCCTCAGAGATGTACAAATTAGAAGAAACAGAGGATTCAAGCTCCTATGCCTCAAAGGTTGAGATCGATCCAAGGGAAGTGGCCTTTTCAAGAGAGAAAAAGCTCTTTACCGAAAAGGAAGTGTGGGAAAGCATCGAGATGTTTGAACAGATGCACCTGGTCGATCCAGAATACGGAAAAAACTGTGACACAACCAGCCTAGAGGAAGAAAGAGGAAGAGACTCAACATCCCATTCCAAGCCCCCTTCCACCGTATGTCGTTCTTATACTAGAGCTCCCACCCCCTCTTCTCCTTTGCTGTCTTCTTTTCATTCAAAAAGTGTTTTAAATCTTCCTTATCATGGTTCCATTTTTTCTTCTCAGGTCTGAATGGAGGGCAGTCCCAACCGTATGTCAACCAAAGCTGACAAGCAAAGTCAAACAGTGATTCCCTGCTCCCGGACAGCCATAGAAGGGAAGTTCAACTGGAAGAGGATACTTTAGATATGGCAAGCAAATTGGGATAGGCGGAAAAAAGGAAACCTTTCTAAACCAAGGAACAGAAAAGGGAAGTGGCAGCAACTGGAAAAATGACAGGGAAGAGTGGAAAGAGGAGCTCAAAAGGAGAATTAAAGAGACTCCAATGGGGAGTAACTGATAACAGATCTTCAAGTCTTAGGGCAGATAAGGGAAAAACAGTGAATAGGACTAAATAAAGATCTTAAGCTGGAACGTCAGGGGATTGGGAGGCCAGATTAAAAGAAGTCTGGTAAAAAACACCTTAAGAAGAGAAAGGCCGGACATAGTCATTTTGCAAGAAACTAAGAAAGAAGTGTTTGACAGAAAGTTGATGAGAGCAATTTGGGGAATCAGAGGAAAGAAATGGGCAGTCCTCCAGCTGTAGGCACCTCGGGGGGAATTATATTGGCCTGGAATGAAGAGGAGGTTACAGGCATTGAGATAGATAAAGGAAATTATACAATCTCAGTTATGTTTACCAACAATTCTGATGGGTTTTGTTGGATTCTGACAGGAGAGTATGGACCAAACAACCCCTCGGATAGGCAGAACTTTTGGGAAGAATTGGATTCTTTGCAAGAGCACAATGACATCCCTTGGGCTTTAGGGGGTGATTTCAATGTCACAAGATTCTCCTAAGAAAACTCAAACAGAAGAACAGTGACCAGAAGCATGAGGGAATTCTCCAGATTCATATCCAGACATAACCTTTGTGATCTCCCCCTTCAAAATGGCCAATTTGCCTGGTCGAACTTGCAAGAAAATCCAGTAAGGTGCAGAATTGACAGATTTCTGGTTTCTCCATATTGGGCTGAGAAGTTTTCCATATCTCATTCAAGAAATCAGACCGTGTTGTACTTCAGACCACTGGCCACTAGTCTTGCAGACAGATAAGACTCTGAAAGTAAAATCCCCATTTAGGCTGGAAAAAATGTGGACCTTGCACAAGGACTTTCACAAGAAAGTGACTTTCTGGTGGGAAGAATATTCAGTAGAGGGATGGGCTGGTTTCAGACTCCTACAGAAGTTGAAAGACCTAAAAAGAAAGCTGAAGTCCTGGGGGAAAGAAGAATTCAAATTTTTTATAGAGGAGAAAAGTGCAATTCTCTCAGAGCTCGAGGACCTAAACCAAAAGGAACAAATAGGTAACCTGGATGGAGATGAAAAGAGGAGAAGAGAAGTCCTAAGAATTTCCTGGGAGAATGTTGTTAGAAGGTGTTAACAGCTGTTATTTTTCCTATGTATAGTACCGCAGGGGTACTATTGTACTTTTGCTCCTTTTTTATTTTAGTTGTTGTCGCCCTAGTATATATATTAAAAGGCTGCGCCGCCAGCAGCAATCTTTTGAGCTCTCAGTTCTCTCTTCTCTCTTTTTCTCTCTCTTTTCTCTCTCTTTTCTCTCTTCTTTCACTCTTCTCTCCTGCATAACATGGTATCAGAGCGGGACTACCAGATCTGAAAGGAGAAGTCGAGTGAACAGTTTTTTTTTTCTTCGCACCAGATTTCCAGATCTGCCGCCCTCATCTGCTGTTCGGCTGAATGAAGATCTCACAAATTGAAGTAACCTTTCTCTCTCTCTCTTACCTTTTTTTTTCTGGTCGTGTGCCAGGGCAGAACCTGTACTAGGTCTGCCGATTGGATGTGAGGTGATCAACACCTCTTTCTTTCCTTTTTTGTGAGGTCGACTGAGCCCTGTGAAACTGTAGGTTGTGAGGACTTTTTTTATGTGCTGCAACAGTAGCTTTTATGGTGAACTGTGGGTCAGAAAGTGACCAGTACTTGTGTGTTGCAACAACAGCTTTTATGGTGAACTGAAGGTCAGAAAGTGACAAGTACTTGCTGTAACAGTAGTCCTGTTGATGCGTATGTCAAGAGATGACCTGTGTGCACTGTGACAACACTTGTGTTGAACTTGTAAGTCAAGGAATGACCTTTTAGTACTGTAACCGCACCTATAACAACACTTTTAAGGCTGTGTACCCCATTTAA